ACTCACCGCGACCGCCGTCGGTGCACTCGTATCCGGTGGCCACCAGTTCCCAGATTGGAGGCAATCCCGGTTCGGGGTTCCTGCACGCTTCCAGCAGCGCCGTGAGTGCGGGACACTTTGGCAGCATCTCCGGAGTGGCCACTGCCAACGGAGCGGACAGCACATTTAGCTTCAACATACGGCCACGTCCCAGTCCGGGTCCAGTTGTAAGCTCCTATCCAAGACCGGCTTCAAGTCAGGGCGGAGGTTCCCCCTACAGGCCCGACTACGCTCCTGGCCAGAGCGAACTGTACTACGACAGAGAACTGATCACTGACCGCCATCCCAGCCCATTTTCCGGATCAAGTTCCGCCCACAGACCACATCAACAGACATTTTACGGACGGACACCGGAGCTCAAGGAGTTGGGCAACAACAGCAACGAACTGACCCAGACGGGGCACAAACTGTACCTACAGGACTACGACTATGTCAGCAGGACGCTCTCCAACCTGACCACGGACGAAAGTAACCAACCAGATGACGACTCCGATTACGTATACGACGAAGACCTACCCAGCAATGATCTGGACAAGACGGAGACGCGACAGGAGGCGGAACCGAACGAATTGACCACCAAGAAGTTCGACATAGACGGCTACATGCGACCACAACTGATGCGAGACGCGACCTACAACTCGACCGGCTACAACGTGACCTCACTGGACGACAACTACGTAATGCCCATGCTGGAGAACAAGACGCGGACGAGCTACGTGACCGAGGTGCCCAAGCCCATGCTGTCCACCTCCAGCCGGAGTGTGACGAACAGCAAGGTCACCGTCTTTCCGGACAGCCTAGGAAAGCAGTTGGCCAACGACATCCTCGCGGACGAGACGACGGACGACTACGTGGACGCCAATGGGCAGACAGAGGCGCGACTAAAGGCCCAGAAGCTGAAGCAACTGGCCAGCGTGGCATTCGCACCAATAACCGTACTGACCAAGCCGGACAGACCGGACAACTGGGTGATCTACAACAAGGCCAGCGAGGAGCCACCACTGCCACAACCTCCATCCGTCAACATAGATGTGGCGCCCACCGGAGAGGTGCCCACTCCGATCAAGAACTTCTACAATGCGTGGCTAAAGCAGGACCTAAAGGCTCGGCCGGAGACATCACCAACCACATCGGAACCCACTAAGAACACGGTGGCAGCAGCGGACAGTATCTAGAAATGCCAAATTAGCCCTAGATTGCTTCTTTATTTATTTACACTTCAAAGGCAAGAATTCAATCCGACTATCTGCGAACCAAAGTGTATTATTTCTAATATAAGATGGGGAAAGATTTATAAGCTGAGAACGGATCAACCAAAAAAGCGACACTATCGGAGATAGAATCTATGCCATATGTTCCTAGTTCTCCAGGAGATCGTCAGCAATTTCGCCCGGACACAGAGCTTCTTTTCGTATTCAACAGTGCCAAAAATGTGACAATTCTTGGTTTGTACTTTATTATAATGCAGACTAAAACTAGTTTATCCACTCAGAGAACACACACACGAATGCTTAGCTAAGTTAGTGCCTCCCGCTCCCGACCTCTGGGGAGGGGCGACCCTGTTTCGATATTAATTTCTAATTCGGCATGTCCAGTTTGTGTTATTTTGTTTGGCGCAAACATTGCTGTGCTTAGTTGTGTAAAAGTAATTGGGCTACCAATGTAATCAACAGTATCATCAACATCATCATCAATTACGTACAAGTACAAGTATAGGTAGGTGTATAATAAATTATTCTTGTCACCGATCGGCCTCTTCGCGTGTTAGGTATAAAACGACTAAGTATAACAAAAATAATGTACACTTTAAGCTACAACACTTTGGGTTATTTGCATATTGAATTGCGTTACTTGAACATCCTAGCCGCAAGCATGTTGCAACGTTCTACTAAACTACATCCTCGATGCGTCCGCCATCAATGATTTATAATTCGCTATCGTTGGCAATTCAACTAATTAACCTGTGCTCCTCTCGTCCATTATCTAGCTCTTGTTATTTACAATCGGGGGCGAATCTCCTCTGGTTCTGGTGGTTCTCAGTACGTCGCGTAAATGCAGTTTTGAGTTGGTTTCAGTTTGGCTGGTGAGGTGATTGTGCGTTCTTCACCAGCGGATCTGGTGCTTGTACTGCTCGTCCACCGCAATGCGCTTGATGGTCTCGTAACCTAGGATAATGCTGAATGAGAAGGCTGCCGACTGCACCAGGCGGGCGGACAGTCCCTTGAAGAAGCAGTTCAGTTTCTCCTCCTGCCACAGCTCCCGGAAGGCGACGCTCATCGAGTCCAACCGATGGACCTGCGGAGACACAGCGTAATACAGATTACGTATGGGTGGCGAGCATATTCAATTGTTAAGATAAGAACGTCTGAAGTTCAGGCGCAGACAACGCAAGAATTACGTCATGTTCAATAAAGATTGCAATAGAGAATTTGCAATCATATAAACTAAACAGATTTTAGGGTTGAAACTGCTTGATTTAAGCAGCAAACAGCTTCAGAAAACTTACCTGCAGACGGGCACGCACTATATCTAATGGATTGGTTAGTATTGTCGTTGTGAAGCCACCCAAGCTGCCGGCCACGCACTGGATAAACAGATGGGACACCCAATAGGGGCAGATGCGGAACAGTTCGTCTGCGAATATAGCCCCAAATTAGTATAATCTAATCTCACTTACAAGCGGAAGACTTACCCTGATAGAGGTGATAGAAGGCCCACCACATGGCCGAATTAGGTACGTAGGCCATCAGGCTGGCGGTGTAGCCGCGGTAGAAGCCCCGGAAGCCATCGCGCCGCATTATCTCCCTGCCAATGTCCATGGAAATGTGCAGGCGACTGCGACCGGGCCACGACTTAATGCCCAGCGGATTGATATCGCCCTTGGAGCCGGCATGGGCCGACATTCCCAGCACCATGGCGTGCTGCGATATCACGTCGAAAGGAACTATGATGGTCTGACCCACCAGCGAGGCGCAACCTCCGCCGGCGAGGGCCTTCATTCGATGCCCAGCACCCAGATCGTTGAGCACATGGCGCACGCCCTCGTATGTGCTTATGTAAAAGACGCCGGACACTATTTGCACGGAGGAGATCCAGAAACCTCTATACAGACCGGGCACTCCCTCCGATCGGTAGATCTTCATGGCGCAATCCACCATGCCCTTGTACACATCGCTCTTGTGCTGCACCTGCAACTGCGTCTTGATCACGGTGAGCGGGAACAGGCAGCAGCGCACCGAGAACGAGCTGAGCATGGAGAGCGGAAAGAACTTGGTCTTGTTCATCATGTCCCATTCAATGGTGCGTATGTACTGGCCACCCTCGGCTGCGCCTCCAACTCCGGTGGGCGCCACCGCAAGGCGGGATGTGGTGCTACTGCTGCTTTCCGTCATCGCTGCTACCGGGCGGCGGTGTTGCGGCTGCTCCAACGGCTCCTGGTGGACTCAGTGCGTCCGCAGAGGATTGTTCGCATGCGTGGAGGCTTCGAGGCGATGGGGGCTTCCTTCACAGCCGAGTGTGCTGCTGCTGTCTCTGGAGGCATTCGACCTGCATGACTCTAGATCGGTTCCTTTGTGTGCTGCGCTTATTGTTGCCGTGTACTAACATATGCGCATATATCTGGGGAAACACAAAACAGCATCTTTTTAGCACATTGACGCAACTCGGACGCAAACGCACGCAAATCATTCCCAAGGTCGTGCGACAGATACGGATTTGGATGGTCCGCCCCTGACCTTTGCTCCTCCGCCCAATGCCAAGGCAATCCGGCGGAGTGCCTGCACGGTTCTGCGGCTATCTAATCTATATATATCTTGGCGCCTCCGCTGATTCGGAGTTGTTATTATATAATGCGCAGACACCTGACTGAGTGGCCACCACCCCCCTCGCCGAGCAAAAAGCACACGGACGTAAACAAACTCTACGCACGGAGTCTGGACGGGATTTCCGGATGTGCTGCAATGCGCGGGGCAGTAGCTGGTGTGGCGGCTGCTTCCTTGGTCACTTACCTACGCCACTGTGTCTGTTTGGATATTTGCCTTGTGCATATCACATAATAAATCTGATGAGAATGAAAAAATTGTTTTAAGAGAGATTTTCGGGAGTGCAAGTGTGGCCAGCGGAGTCGGAGGAATGCACATGAATAAGCCCAAAGTTGAGGTGTATAACTTTGATGAGTAAACAGCTCGGACCCGAACCGGAAATCGAAGACTTTGTTTTCCACTCAGAAAAATAAACCTATCTAAAATTTGAAATAGTGGAAAACTTATAAAATAATAATTCAATTAGGCATTTTTGCATTTTCATTTGCTTAGGTATAATTTTAAGCTTGTCGAATTTGTTTTAACTTTTAGGGTGAAGCGCTTTAGCCTTGTTTATTTTGAAAACTGTATTTGTAGGTTATATTTAATGAATATTGGAATATTGAAAATTGCATTTGGATTAGAACATGCTTGTCTAACTCTATGTTACTGCAGATATAAAATAGTTTGTTTCCAGCCTTGTTTCGATTTAATGCCTGTAGTCAATTTTGAAAGCTTTGATTAGCTGCGTTCAAATCTGAAGACATTAACATTTTCTCCTAATTGCCGCCCACGCAGTCCACCCATTGGCCTTTCCCCTTTGTGGCAAGCCAACCAATCGGCGGGAAGAGGAGGCGTGACGCGGCTGCGCAGTGCATCCTGGCCAGCTTCCAGGAGCATCAACCCCCGAAAGGTGACTCCGGCCGCATTGCCTGTCATCCTGACCAGGTGCCCTCGACCAGTCACAACGGAAACTCGAAACCAACTGCACGAAGGCAACGGAATGCGCGCTGATCAGCACCGTCAAGTGAAAGCCATCGAGCTCTGAATAATTCAGGATTATTGATGTGCAGCAGCCAGGTGAAATCCTATTAGTGAAAATCCAACAAGTTCAAGAGTGCATCCGGACCACCGATCGATCCATGGATACGGCCAAGTTGGTAAGATTCGCTTAAAGCTTTTATTTCAACCGCATCGCACGTACATAAATAGGACTTAAACTAGGAGTCCTTGGAGGTGGTGGTCTTAGCCATAGCTGAGGGTGTAGCCCATGTTCTCCATGAGGGTCTCCTTGATGGCCGGCTGGAGCGCCCGCTGCATGTAGGTGGTCAGCAGGCCACGTACGCCCATGGAGAAGAGCTTCTCCAGCTCGTGGGACATGGCATCGCCCACTAGCTCCTCGCGATCTCCATTGGGCTTAGAGCCGCTCCCACTGAAGATATCTGCAAAGGCTCTGGCATCCGGCTCCACCAGCTGCTGCAGCTGCTCGTCCTCGAAGTGCAGCACATCCTGGCTGAAGTTCACCTGGTCCTCGAAGTTCTCCTTGGCGTACCGCCGCCGGCGTCGCCTCTTCTTGCTGAACTGCCGCCGGTAGAAGTTGTCCCCGTTCACATCGATGAACTCACCCGAGTCCTGTGCCTGGCTATCGCTGCCCAGCTCTAGGCTGTGTTCCTTAGTTCTTTGGGGCACCCGATCCTGGCGAATATCGTAGCCCGCCTGCTGATGGTACTTGCCCCACCTCTGCGGTCTCTTGCTGCCCAGAATCACATGCGGTTCGCCCAGTTCCACTTCCGGAGCACTACCGAATCTCCGCTTGGAGTTCTGGCGCAGCCGGATCCCAGTGGGTCCCTGGCAACCATGAGCAAAGACGGATATGAATCCGGGCTCTGCGAAGTGGGAATCCGTGCGCACCGAGGCGGCTCCCAGTCTCCGGGACTGCTCGTAGTTGGTGGAGTGTCCCGATCCCAGTGGAACTGTTCGAAACTCGATGCCCGCGTGTCGCAGTCTCAAAATCATGTGGCACTTTCCACCCATCGGCTGCATCACCACCTTGCCACTGAGCGTAAGATCCGGAAAGATGAGGCGGGTGTCCAGCGTGGAGTTCTCCGTGCTGAACTTGCACTTGTCGATCTCCACCCAACGGTTGGCGGCCTTCGCCGGCGGCACTCGCACCTTGAGATCCTCCACATCCACGCGGGAAATGGTCAGTTTGTGGGGCTGTCTGTGCTGCTGGCTCTGTTGGTTGACCGTCAGCAAATCTTCCAGTTCCAGAGCACTGCTCGAATCGGAGAAGGGATGGGCTTGTCCATTTCGGTGCAGGAGCTTGGCGTGATAGCCACGTCCGCTGCTGTAGGCACCCACATTGTAGAAGTCGTCCTCCGGATCGCTGTGCTGGCCGTAGAAACTGTGGTACAACTGGTACGGACTCTGCGGTGGCGGCTCCCACATGGCTCGCGATGCGGATGAGCTCTTGGTCTGGACACTGCGTCGACGCATGTGCTCCAGCGCATTCTCCAGCCGGTTGGAGCAGCGGTGGGGCAGCTGATACGGCTGGCAGAGGGTTACTAAAGATAATGGGTTATCAGAGTTGGCTACGATGAAGTGGAGGTCACTTACCCTGCAGCAGAGAACACATGGCCAGCAGAAACTGCAGCCCATTGAAATCCCGGCTCACGTATCCTGACATGGCGGTATTGCAAACATGGAGCGGGTAATACAATTTGCTCAGGCTGTAGTACTTCGCTTGCTTCTGACTATCTCTAGAATCTCGTTCTTCAGAATTCTTAAATCTGTTAATTCTCACTGGTTTCCAAACGTTACGTTCACTATATCACAAAATTTGTATGTTCAAATGGAATTAGATCTTCCAGTAAACTCCTTTTCTATAAAGAACTTTTGTCCATTGTAATTCCGTTCGCTAGTAGAATTTAAACACTTTTATGTTCGTAATATTTGGTTTAGCTATTTTTCCAGAACTTGGGTTGTAAAATATTCATGTCGTTGAGGTATTTAAGATGTGGTTTCCAAACAGCGCAGCAATCTCTTGAGTTTCCTTTCGAAGTATCCTTTAGTTGGCCAGAAAACACCTCCGAACTCGCCCGCAGCTGAACCGAAAATGCGACTCCCAAGCGGAGCGAGAAACTGGCTCGGTCGCGCTTCCATTGCCACAAAACCGAAAAAGACACCCACCAGAAGACGCAGAAGAGCAGCCGTAGCCATCGTGATGGTGACGACCGTGTCACTGCCTCATCATGTGCAGTGAAAGTGTTTTCCACGACGGATCCCCACAGCCAGAGTTAAAAGCGACAGAGATTCGGAGTCCGAGTCAGCCAAGCCGAGCCACACACAGAGAAGCAAAAGAAAAAGACGCCAGCTAAAACAATTTGGAAAAAGAAAAGCATTGTCTTCTGTGGCCCCATGCGTCTCAGTCCACCCACCGCCCCTCGGGCGGCTGCAAACTAGATCAGTACATATACCCTCATGGAACACCTTATGTACATATGTATAATACCATACCATGCCATACCGAAAGGTAAACACACGACTGGAGTTTCGTAATGTCAGTTGCGGGCGCGCATGCGTCGTAATCTTTATAGAGATATTCTCCTATGTGCTCCATTGTTCGCCAGGGTTCAAAGTTGATCAATCCGTCGGATGAGTCAGTCACCCAGCGCCACAGCTTGTTTTCCCAATTGCACTTGTAATTGCCACCAATTGCGCATACAAATTAGGGCCTAATAGGGCTTATGAGGTACTGCAGGGTATTCGCCCTTTGATGATCGCTAGATAGTATTTGCAATTTAATTGAATATGGAAATGGAAAATAATTTATTCAAAATATAGATTTTTGATTCCTAAAGTCGATATTCTATGAAACCTTTCTTTGGAAAAAGTATGTCGCCTATGCTATATGATGACTTATTATGATGTGATACTTATACGATTGATGGTTTTTTATTATGTAACAGGCAGAAGGAAGCGTATCCCACTATGTAAATATATATTCTGATCAGGATCAATAGCCGAGTCGAACTGGCCATGTCCGTATGTCCATCTGTCCGTCCGTCTGTGCGATTGTCCGTATGAAAGCCTTGATCTCAGGAACTACAAAAGCTAGAATGTTAAGAGCAAGTTAAAATTCTTAGCCCCCCTATTAAACGAATATCTTGAGAATTATTTATATTATGAATAATAAAGCTTTAAATAAGGCATGAGTTAATAAATGAAATATAGCTAATTTATAAAATCCTATAGAAACTTGCAGCGCAAGTTTGTTTCAAATGTTGCCAAGCCCACTCCTACGCCCACAAACCGCCCAAAACTGTCACGCCCCCACTTTTGAAAAATGTTGTGGTATTTTTTCACTTTTTTATATATCTTGTAAATTTCTAAAGATTTTTTTTTAATTTTATTATTTTTTCCCCAATTTCTACCGATATTCCGGAAAATGTTGAAATTTCTGGGAACTCGACTATAGCATTGTATCTTGTTTTTAATATGAAATTGATATAGTTGGTATAGAGATAAAGAGTATTGCCCAGCTATAGTAACCCATCCAAAAAGCGCTTCCCTGTTGCACCTGCGCACGTGTGGCAGGTGACATCGCTTGGCTGGCTGCCGATGTGTCTTTCTTTTTGTTAATTTTGTAGCTGCCTGCACACGACAGTTACACTAAATAACTGCCGTAATTTGATTTGACAAATTGTTTGCTTGCACTTAGCGAGCGCGATTCAGCGACACATTTTGCAATTTATCAAAGATTTGTGCGCGCAAAAAGCGGAAGAGCCGCCCGTTGTGGATTGCCAAATCGGAGATCTCCAGTTGAATGTCTCGTGGCGCAGATTTACATAACCCCCGATTTCGGGGGGAGAAAGTCGAGCATTCTGCACTGCTTCTGGCCAAAAACCGGAGAAAAGGCAAGGGACGGTGCCGCTTTCTGCGTTTCCAGCCGCGGTTTTTCTCCATCTTCATACCAACTGGAAGTTGGCAAGGTGTATTGCCGATAGAGCCGATCCAAACCGGCAGCGATTACGGGCACGTAATTAAGGGTAACTATCTCCAAATGGTTCTCGAATGCGACGAAGCACATCCAGATGACGGTGCATCGCAGTGCTTGCTGCTCCAGTTTGCAAATGTCAAGCAAGGGACTCGAAATGGGGGCACAACTGGATGCACTTCGTCATGGAGGCCCGGCTGAGTGGGTTCCGTGAGCAAACAATGGACGATGCCTTCAAGAAATACTATTGTCTTTCTATCTTGAATTGCTGTTCAATTTGCTTTGGATGCTTAAGGTAATCACCTGGAGATTGGCCCACATTTAAATGTAGGTTGAGCAAGCAATTACTTAGGTTCTTGTTAAAGTTAATTTGGATGGAATGATAGCCAAGGGCTTGGTATTTTGTCACAGCATAACAAATAAGTAATATTTCCCCTTAAAAGATGACTTTAAAGAAGTTCCATTGAGGTATTGTACGCCTCTATTTCCCAGAAATATTAAAGATCCCACAGTACTGCTTCCCCTGCCGCGCTGCAAGTACTGGAGGCCAGGAGAGTTTCCCTATGAGTTTCCCACAGTGAAAAGTGAAATCCCGGCCGGCCATAATGAGCTCCACGAGCAGGGTGATATGATGACCCGGAGAGAGCGAGAGTGCGACCATAGACAAAGGTTAACCTCGGCGCAGTGCTCATTAAATGGACAAGTGTCAATAAACCGCAGTTGGAGTCGGCAGATGCCCACGTACCTATGCCCAGAGTGATATCCACATATCATTCCACAGGCCACTAGTGAGGGTCCAGTGCCAGTGGTTGTAGTAAGTTGTCCGACACAATGGCTCATTACTTAATGGCCAAGAACACGGGAGAACTCGCACCCGGCCAATTGACACCCGGCAAAAGGAAAAGCAAAAGCGAAACAGAAGCTGTTAAACTAATTGCCACAACTTCCACTTGACTATGTCAATGTGACGAGTTGGCCATTGTCTCTGCAACCTGTTAGCGGCGGGTGGCCAACAACCCACTCAGCAGGTGGCTTTAAAGTTCGGATGGCTTAAAGACCACGGAAACACCCAAGAAATCCTCCCAAAACGACTGCCAAATTGAGTATTAATTTGGCCAAGACGAAATCGAAAGACCGCAGCCGAAAAAAGCCAGACTCATGACAATTTCCTGGCGCGCCTTGTCTCATTTCCTTATTCCGCAGAGCGACTACGGCGAGGCCAAGACGCACCTGGAGCAGCTGCAGCAGACACTCACGCACCTGGACCACCCGCACCACCCGCACCACGCACACCATCCCCACCACCACCTGGGGCTCTACCATGGCGCCCTGCCCAACACATCCACCATAACCACCGACTCGGTGGTTTCCTGTGTCAGCTCCACACTGCCGGCTGTGGCCAAGGCCATTTCCTCCAGCTCCTCCAGCTGCGATGGCCTGCAGTTGGAGCGCAAAAAGTGCCCCACCAGCGATCTGGATTCAGCTGGTCATGGTCACGGGCATGGCCTCATGGAGGCCATCTGCGCTGGCCAGAAGTCGTCACCGATACCTCCGCCGCCACCACCTTGCTGCTTGACCCTGGGCGAAAGCTCCTCCTCGCCGAATCCCATCGCCACGGCCGCCCTGATGAACGCATCCTCCTCCGGCTCCTCCAGCGCGGGCGGAGCAAGTGCCTCTCTCTGCAATGGTGTGTATATGAGCTTCAGATTCACCTTAGCATCTATTACCAAATTCTATTGTTTAGCATAGCCCGCCAATTATAGCAAATTACGAGCATATCAAACTTCTTCTCCAATCCTTCCACCCTGCAGATCTCACACGGGAGTCCTCCTGGTACGCCCACCATCATCATCACCACCATCACCATCACCACCAGCTGCCCGACGAGCTGGTCATGTATGCCACGCCCACTCCCACGCCGGCAATCGGCAAGTTCGGACTGGACACTTCCACCGAGGGCTACTTGAACGCAAGGTACAATGGTAAGCGTCCTCGTCCACGTCCACTGTCAAGTCCGGATGCAGCCTGCCCCTGCCCCAGCCACTGCCCCTGCTCCTGATCCACCACCCACTCCGACCCACTGTATCCACTTTCTGTTTGCCTTTGCTATTTACACGTTCGCTTGTTTATTAATTTTCCATTATGAGTTTTGAGCGGTGAGTGGGGAAGTCCGGCGGCTTGGATGGCAAATGGTTCCGTGGGTGTGGGCTTGGGATTCCGGGCCGCTCTGCCATTTGCCGCCCGAAGGCTTGCTGCAGCTTAGATTGTTATTTTTAAGTTTTTTATTAAGAAAACATCGCCGAAGTTTGGGCGCGTGCCGAGCTCTAAATAAGATAAATATGTCTTTGGAGTTCTGGGAAATCAGAATGCTGGAGTCAAACTGCTGGCCCAAGTCAATCGTTTAAATGTAAACTAAGCTGGATAGGAATTTGCTACCCTATAAACTATATTTATACCGCCCCCGCAATCCCCGAACCCCGCAATCCCCTTTTGAGTTATCTAGTCCTGAATTTCGGCTGGCACTCGATTATGGCCAAGTCAAGTGCACGTGACAAGCTCGATTTGTGGCCTCAAAGGCATCCCATTGCGAGCGTTAATACGAAATATTGTCTAACAAAAGTCGAGGCCATCTCGGCAGGCTGGGCGATGTGGCTGGCTGAGGAGGTGGCTTCTTCTCCAGATATTTATGACACGAGTGGAAGAAGTAACCTGGTCTTTTTCTTATTCTTGTTCTCTATTTTTGTACCTTCGCATCCAACGGGCATCTGCAGTGAATGTCAAAGGCGTGCGGCATGATAGAACATCGAGTTTCTTTGACATACCCGCTGTGACGCACCCGCACACCCACCCACACCCACATCCGCACTCGCATCCGCACCCGCATCCGCACCCGTACTGCTACAGGTAAGAAGATTGCGCTCCACGCTGACAAGACAAGTCACCTTTAAGTCAATCAACGGAGTCGCTGCTCCTCGAATTATCCGCTTTCTATATACATATAAAATATATCTTGAAATATTTTGATTTATGCTCCGTACAGATTTCCATCATCGCCACCCGCGGGCATTCTGAAAAAGAGCGACGAAGGTAAGTCGCTTAAAAATTGAGAAAAATGAATGGAAAATGATTAAAGCCATGCGTTGGCGCTCCCTCATCATTTATTCAAATTATTGTGCGCGATATGCATACCTATCAGTGGGTAATTCCATTTGCAGCCATCTTCTTCTAGTGGCTTTCAATATTTTTTCAAATAAAATGCAAGAAATCGCGCGCATAATTTACAATAACAATATCGCCGGTGTTACTAGCCGCTAATCCAATTGGCGGCGGCACAAGCGTGCAACTCAATTTCGCGGGGCAGCCACTGCATAGCTCGCCTCCGGTGGGCGTGGTGGTGGGCGGCCGGGGCGTGGTCGAGGGCTGAATCCGCCGCCCACCGAACAAACAGCTCAATCACGGGGCCGCCGTTGAGTGGTTCGTGTTAGCAACCCAAACACCCCAGTCACCCATCCATCCGCTTGCACTGGAAAAAACTTGTTCGGTATATTGAAAAGTATTTTATTTCATATGCGGTAAAGTAGTATTTGGGTTATTAGAACAGTGCATTAGAAACACTTTAAACTTGGAATCCATTTCTCTTAAATTAGAAGTTATACATATACTGATTCATACTGCTCCAAGAATATCTCCTATTTCCGAAGAGGATTGTTTTGCCGTGAAGATCCAAGCCTGCATACAATTGTAGACCTGAGTGTGGTATTTTGCCAAGTGTAGAGCACTGCACCACCCACTCCAGCCCACCGGGATACCCTCGTCCTTGGGCAGCAGGGCCAACAGGTCTTCGTTTTCCATCAGCAGTCAGCAGCTCGTTTGTTGTTGTCGGCAATGATGTTTTCACTTGTCGACACTTGCTCATGGATTATGCAGAGGTATCTCCTGAATTTTTAATGCGCCCAGCGTCGAGTCGCGATGGGCACGGGTTGCCGGAATGGATGGGGGGTGCTCGCAGCCGGGAGTTGTGGAGTAGCTGCCTAATGAAAAGGGCAAGCTCGGGTAGTGCCTTCGGCTGGCTGGGTGGCATGGAGTGGGTGAGTTGCCCCCGCTAAATTGCAGCATATTGAGCATTTTGCAGCGAGTGAGGGGAGTGGGCTGCTTAAATAATTAATTGCTGCTAAATACCCTGGCCATTTAGAGAAGCCAAACAAAGCGAAACAATGTGAAAGAGTTTTAAATGGCCGTCGAGAAGGCGGAATGCTCTTCAATGAGCTGGGATGCGGATTCAAAGTGGCATATAGTAATTATATGGGTTAGAGACACCCTATCTCCATCTCTAGCCTAGCACATCTACACATTGTGTACCAGATGTTTTGAGCTAGAGTTGGTTCTTGCCAGACTGCCTAATACGCCCATTCTGCCCTCTGTGCGCAAGGGTATCAGGAGTACCCATGTAATTAGCACCCATTCCCTTGACGCCGCCACATTGCCCAAACGTGCATGAAAGCCGCTTTCACTGGTGAACTCTTTTCAATCCTTTTTTCCAGAAGCCACCGCGGCAGCCGTCTACTGCAGCGACGTGTCCTCCGGCCAGCACTTTCCGCACCACACGAAGATCGAGCACGCGGACTCCACCACAACGGCGGCACAGCAGCAGCAGCAGCAGCAGCAACAGCAGCAACAGCAGCAGCAGCAACAGCAGCAGCAACAGCAGCAACTGCAGCAAGCTGCTGCACTGCATCCGCACCACCACCATTCCCACGGCCACCATGGCCACCAGCAGGCGGAGCAGCAGGCGCTCACCCACTTGACGCCACTCCATGCCGCCTCCGCTTTCAAGTTTAGCCACACGGCGGTCATATCCAGCTCGGCGGTATATGCCACGCCCTCGCACTACGCCCACCAGCAGCAGACGCAGTCGCAGTCCGTGTACAGGGACCTGTCACCCACCACCTTGGCGGCGGTCAGCGATGCGGATCTGAAGTACGACAGCGGTCCCTACAACGCGGCCATCTCATCCACCTATCCCTCCGCGCTGCGGCCCAATGTGGTGGACTCCACCACGTCCAGCGATGCGGAACTGCGCCTGGATCAGTTCTACGCCAGCAATGGCATCTCCACCAGCAGCAGCGGCCAGGCGATCAGCCAGCGCAGGGGATCGCTGCAGCTCTGGCAGTTCCTGGTCGCCCTTCTGGATGAGCCCACAACCAGGTGGGTCTGATTCAGCGACACCAAAGCTCTCAAGCATTAACTCGCGGTGGTTGTTCTTTCAGCGCCAGCTGCATCGCCTGGACCGGCCGTGGCATGGAGTTCAAGCTGATCGAGCCGGAGGAGGTGGCCCGGCGCTGGGGTCTCCAGAAGAATCGCCCCGCCATGAACTACGACAAGTTGTCCCGCAGTCTGCGCTACTACTACGAGAAGGGCATCATGCAGAAGGTGAACGGGGAGCGCTACGTCTATCGGTTCGTCTGCGATCCGGATGCGCTGTTTAACATGGCCTACGGCCACCTGACCACCGGATCCGGCAAGGGTGACCAGCACCAGTTGACGCTGTCGCTGGCCAAGACGCCGCCCACTTCCGGCGACTCCCAGACGCAATCCCCTCGCGTGGCCAAGTCGGAGTACTACGATACCGCCGCATTGCATAAGTACTAACCATATAGTCGCCACATGTGGGCGGAGCGTTCGAATGCGGCCGCGTGGGCGTGGCCGTGTCCCATGTACATTGTGTAATCTAGTTGCGTGTGTGGTTACGAATTTGAAGTGAAGGTTTCGTTATGATGAGCTGCGTTGGGAATAGCTTAGAGGGGCACGTATGCTGTTCGTCAGTAATGTCGGGGTCACCATCTCCTGAAAATGGCAGAGTCACACATGCAAGATGGTTTCATCCATTTAATTCTGTTTTATTATAACGTTATACACAGTTGTTCAACATTTTCATTCACCGTGCCCCTCTCTAGACTACCATATACAAAGTTATTGATTCCAAGGACTAGGCTGATCAGAACGACATACACAAATGGTACTCTACGATATTTACAATTAGCATATATGCTTGAGCGCTAACGTATACATAAATATCTGTGTATATAGAGGGGGATACAGGGAATAGGAGTCATGTGTCCACCGAATATCGTAGTTCTGCATTGAGGTTGAGTTACTTAAATAAACTATAAAGCCTGTTTCCGGTTTCGATGACCGTGTGAGTTGGCAGATTAGGATCCATGAAACTTCAGTTCTATAAGGTAGCATTTAGCGCAAAATTGTTACTTCTAAAGTCCACCAAAGTGCATCGATTGGAGGAACCGGAAACAGAGCTGTATGAACCGTTTCTGTTCGTTAATAAATGGCAACAGAGTGTTTTTGGTTGGTTGAACATCACTCCTCCCTCTTCTTCTTCCTTTTGGGCTTATCCTCGCCATCGGAATCCTGGCTGGTGGCACTGGACTCGCTGGCACTGCTGCTGCTCTCCTGCTTGCGCTTCTCGGGTGTCTTCTTGGCCAGCTTCTCGATGTACTGCTTCAGCTTGTCCGGCTGCGGACTGTATGCCCAGTGGATCAGCTGCAGGTGGAGGTCGGTGGGTGCTCCGCTTTCTGCCTCGAAGAGCTTGGCCTCCTCGCTCTTGATCTGCTCCAGCAACTTGGACAGCTGCCGATTGCGAACAATGTCCCAGCTGGTCTCGTCATCAGCCTTGGGGAACATGGTGCGCAGGTGCTTGTAGTTACCCTTGGCCTTGGAGCCGCCATAGGCTTCCAGGAACTCCTTGGCCAACTCCTCCTTGGGATCGGGCAGCTTGGTGACCACGGCGAGCGGCAAGTATGCACGATTGTCCCTGATTCGGTTCTCGGCCTCGAACTTTTCCAGGAAATCCTCCAGTACCTGGACTCCCTCCTTGATGGCCGTGATCTTGTCCTCGTTCTTGGTGCCGGACAGGACACGCTTGGAGCTGCCAATCAATCCCTTGATGGCCAACCTCTGGTAGTCCGGATCTCGTTCCGCCAAAATGCTGCAATACGAGATGCATATAGAAATAGTTTTGGATACAGGCAAACTGTGGAATGTGCCTATCCTCCACTCATGCAAATATTGGGGTGGATCAGATTTATGGAAATGCTATTACTAGTATTATGACTGTCTCATATTAAACTGGTTCTAAATGTGGTAGAATATATAACTCAAAGAATCCACATCATTTTCCAAGCAGCACATATAAAACTATTTTCAGGTTTCTACTTATAGAGAATGAGCAAGTGGAATGCTATGTTGCATATACAAAAGGTAAATGTCCAACAATGTTTAAACACTACGGATTAATACATCGATCCACCCTAATATGTATGCATCCAACGCGAATGGGAGCGAATGGGAAGAGCGTAGTGGCCGCTCTATCAACTTAGTGCGACTTCCGAGTTCGACGCAGCTAAAGTGTGCCATGACATCATTGGACGTCGTCGCTGGTTGCCTGGGCCGAAGGTCACCGGCGGCTCATTAGCATGCCAGCGAAGAGGGCCTGGTGAAGTGACTTACCTCAGTGTCGCCTCCGCAGCAGCCTTGTCCTTGAATCCCAGTCCCGGCACCGTCTCCACCTTGTCCTCGCTGTCTGTCTTGGCATTCTTACTGGATGCCCCGCCGCCATTCTCCTCCAGCCACTTCTCAAAGACACCAATGGCCGCATTGATGTTCTTCAGCTTCTCCTCCGCCTTGGTCACTATAATCGAAGGTTTAGTGCTGGCTTCGGTACATCTCTTGTGCTATAGCACTCACTTGTAAGGACTCTTTTGGCCCGGCCGAGCAAGCCGCGCACTGTCAGCTTGCGATACTGCATGTCGTGGCTCTCCAGCAGCTTCAACGTCTCCAGCGCCTTCTCCATGTCCTTGAAGCCAAACTTCGAGTCTCCCTCCGCCATGGCTGCTCCTTTGGTTGCTAAAACTTGGGTATCTGCTATAAGTCCGGCAAATGGCGTCTGCTTTCTGCCAGCGCCAGAATGTGACTGATTTTGCGTAGCCACGTTCTCCAACTCGACGACGGCATATGGCACTGCCACTTAATCATGTGAAGACGCAAAATGAGCGCCAGTGAGAGGCAGTGAGCAGCGCTGAGCAGGGCCAATTAGATAAGCACCACAAAATAACTGGGTGACTCTATGTTTGGGAACCGGTTTGTTGTCGTAGCGCCGGAGCAAAACAAAACCCACGAAATAATAATCGATGACGTCAGCCCCACGAGAAACTGATAACAAACATTGAGGGGAAATAAACGATATCAATTACTTAACTATATGCTGGTCTCCATAATAAAGCATGTAATGTGACTCAATGGTGTAATCGTCATAATTGCAAACAAGATCCTATTTAAGATGATATATGTACATACATCCATTCATTTCCCTGCCCAATCAACACGAACATTGTAATAGTTTGTTTCTGTTGTATATTAACATGGAACTCAAAAAGCTTTGGGCTTAGCGGATGACGATTGGCTAGTTGCAGCTGCGCCGTATTTGGAGTATATCGTCGACCATGAAGTTGCGCAGGTGGCACAGTGCCTGCACCACGTTGCCCTGGTCGCGAAGATTCGGTCCGATCCATTGCTCGGGTAGCGCCGCCTTGGCCACCACTTGTGCGGGAGAGATGTGGGTCAGCGCACGCCGCCAGTTGTTGTTGCAGGTGGCTACGTTCAGATGGCTGCCCGTCTGCAGGCTCTCGATGTACTTAATGTAAGCCTCCGAGTGGATGACCCGAGTGGTGCGGGGCGGCACTGTGACGAACAGCGGCTCTGGTGGCGGTCCCAAGACGATCGTTTGCTGCTGCTGCAGTTGGTGCATGTTCTGCTGGGGATGCTGCTGCTGGAGCTGCACTGCCTCGAGATTGCTTGGAGCGCGCGGCGATTGGGCAAGGCTGGGCGGGATAGGCACAGTAGTGGCCAGTTGCGCATGCTTCTGGCGACGCGGTACAAAGTTCTTGCTGCGGTCCGCCGTCGAAATCGTCTTGCCACACTTGCTGAGATGAACCTCGCGCACATGCTTGATGAGGCGCAGCACGTTTGGAAAGGCCTGAACGGACTTCTTGACCCGCGGGCAGTTGCGCCAGAGGCAGACATACTCCGTCTCCACGCCCGCTTGTGGATGGCGCTGGATGTGTCCGGTGGCATCGGACATGCAATGTTCCGTGCAGTCGCCAAGCTCCTCGAACTGAAAGTCGCACTTATCCCACTGACACTCAAAGGTGACCTGTCCAAAGACATCCTGCGACACTTGGGGTGAGGGACTAGCACTGTTCTGGACGTCATCCAACTCGCGACGCAGAGCCGCCGTTTCCTCATTCTGACGGCTAGCCCTATCCTCCCAACTCTGCTTGACGCTGGACGGGAGATTCTTCCATTCGGTGCCCACCATGCGGGATATGTCTCCAAAAGTGGCGTCCGGGTTGCTCTGGCAAATGCCTGTAAAAGATAGTCAAATGTTATAAGTGATCTTTTGAAAAAAGTTGGGACAGCTTACCTTTCCGGACTTCACTTGAGTACAAAATGTATCCGGTTAGGCATTTTTTGGCCGATTTGGCGGCCTTAACTTTGGAGGTCAGTGGCGTGGAGTTCACAGAAGGAGCTGGCGACGACATGGCCGCAATGTCTGAGCTCAGCGAGGGTGTATCCCCATCCATTGAATCCTCCAGCATGCCCAGTTCATTCAGTTCGTTTTTAACGTCCTTGGAAGGCTTTATGGGAGTCTTAAAGTAAAAGATCTCATCCTCGGTGACGGAAGGACTGTGCTGGAACTTGCGCATGTTGCCCGTGGCCAACTTGCGGAGAGCTTTCTTTAGCTCATCATAGACGGACTCACAAATGTACACATCGCTTTCGGATATCTCCGTGGGTCGGGAGCTGATAAATTCGGAGTACTCCAACACGGCGCAACGACCCACGATGCCCACCACCGGACTGACCTCTTCGACGGTGCTCAGCAGCAGTTCCTGGCGATAGAATTGCTTGCTCAAGCCGGGAGTGGTCTCGCTGGGGGGTAACAGCCATGGACCTTTAAAGTATGATTTTCCATTCTGTTCCCAGATCTGCTGCACCTGTGCCACCGACTGCTTTCCTGTTTGGGTGGCCACGTAAACAAAGTCTCCCGTTTTTATGGCCCCACTGCAAATTGTGTTGTACTGCTGGTAGTATGTGCTGCCACCCTCAGCATTTGGCGGCGGATCACAAGACACATTTGGTTTTTCCTTCTCGACCAGCGTCTCTTGGAGCTTCAGCTCCTCCAGTTCTCCTTTGTGCTTTTCCAAGCGCTCCTTAAACACAGACATCACACGCTTCAGCTCCAATGGCTGCTCCCGTGGAACGAACTTCACCGAGCTGCCTTCACGCACCGGCGGCCAATTCTTCAGTTTCTTAAACCAGCGACCCTGGATGTTGTAACGCGACTCGCAAACGTACACATCCTTCTCTGGCAAGTTTTCTGGACGCATCTTGATATAGTCTTTTATGTTCATTACGTAGCACATGCCCAGGACTTTGTCCATCGAGATGGTCTGCGAAAGGCTGCTCTTGAACACTTCCTTTTCGAGGAACTTGCGAGTGGTTACATGGTACGTTTCGTGGGGTCGCACGAAGATCGAAGCCTGCATCAGCTTCTCGTTGGTGGGTGAAGTCCACAGGCGCTCAATGCAGCATATCGAGGGAATCTTGTTTTCCGGCATCTGCACGTATACGTAATCGCCGGGAGAAAATACCTGCTGGTTTATTGTCATGCTTTCACCCTTGGCTGCGTTAAACTCGTCCTTCTCCTTATCCTGCTCTTGGTCCTGTTCCTCCTGTTGCATCTTCTGCTGGCGACACAGCTCCACATCAGCCATAAGGCGTTCTAGGCTAAAATTTAAAGCGGATGAGCTTAGTGTGTCCTTGCATAACTCGTCTCTCTTGCGGATGAAGTACGTCTGTAACTCGATGGAGTCCTGGAAGTGTGGGTTTTTAGAATATTACAGTGTTTTAATTGCTGAAGTCATTACTCACCTGAAAAATATCTGAATCTGTGCGGGAGAACTTCCTTGCACGCTCCAAACATGCAAAAATATCTTCTTGATAGACATCAAGTCGCTTGTAAGCACCTTTGTCCAGTCTACGCTTTACAAGGTCCAGCGATATGCCGCGAACCTTGGGCCCTTCCCCTATCTCATCGTACTCCGGCAATTCGGCCAGAGAATCCGAGTAGCAACGTCCCTCCTCGTCCTGGTGATTGTAAATAGTGGTGAACAGTGTGAGGAACAGCTCTTGAACAGCCAAAGGAACATCCGGAAGAGAATCGCGCTCGCTGCGCAGTTGTTGCTTCAGCTGCAGCGTCAGTTGTTGTAGCACCAGTGCGTCCTTGTAGATCTGCGAGTCTGGCTCGTTATACTTGCATGCATTCTCCAGCATCAGCAGAAAATCCGCTGCCAAGTCATCTAAGGTCTCATATGCGCCCTGTTTTAGTTTCTGAGCGATTCGGTCCATGTCAATTGGTTCCCTGATAATGTCGTAGTAGTCCGGATACTCGCTCTTTGATGGCAACTTGGTAAATATAAGCGATAGCTGCCTCTTGCCCTTGGGCTCCTGGTACTCCTTTACCGTTTCGTAGAATTGCCACAGCCGCTCTGTAATCAGAGCGGTCTTTAACTTCCTTCCCACCTTGCTGTACTTCTGCTGGGTTTTTTTGCCCTCCGTAAGGCCTGGGAACTCCTTAAGCTTTTCGTTCAGAGCTCGCTCCAATATGTTGGCATCCTCGTATATGTTAGAGCCCTCCTCATTATATTGTCGGCAGTTGGAAAACATGAGTCGGTAGTCGGATACCACGTCCTCCACGGCTGCATAACGATCGGTGCGAATGTTGTGCTCGATTGTGTTCATGTCAATGGGATTTTGAATGATATCGTAGTAGTCCGGATAAATCTTCCGAGGCGGCTTCTCCATAAACATTTCGATGGGACGACGATTACCCAAAGAGTAGTCCACCAGGTACTTCTGTATGCTCAGAATCTTCTTTTTGATAGCCGCGTTGATTGCAATTCGATTGGATTTGGGTGAATTCGAATTATTTGGTGTATGGGAGGCGTTAGAGTTCGAATTGGAGTTAACCCGTGGTCTGCCCGGCTTGCGCTTTTCCGGCTGCGTGGTAACAGTAAATACCTCTGCGTCCATATCGTCTGCATCCTCGTCATCCAGATCACTGCCCTCCTCAAGAGACTCCTCCACCAGCTTGGCGTTCATGAGCCTTAACATTTTTAAGGCATCTTTGTGAGTGCGATGGGACGTCGGAAACGCCTTTTTGGCGTTGTCCAGCATGAGATATAGGTCGGCGGTGAGATCACTAATGTTCGCATAGTCGCCTTTCTTTAGTTTCGTGTGGATTTGGCTCATAGATATGGGTCGTTTAATCAGATCAAAATATTCGGGATGGAAACGACGAACTGGCAGTTTCCATAGAGAGTTTCCCAATGGAGGCCCAGTGACTCCTGGATGTTCCGATGTTCCTGGTGCATTGTACAAGTGATCGAACAATGCCCACATGGGGCCCTCGCCCTTTTTGCTGGTCTCCTCATCGTCCGAGCTGTCCACCTCTTCTTTTAAGGCTGAAAACAGTATGATTAATATAAAAAAAAAAGACAAACTTTTTCTTATTTATAATCCTTACCAGCAATTACAGCACTGGAGAGACTCTTGACGCGCTTAGCCAGCTTACCCTTGCCCGTCTCCAGCTCTATACGCCGCTGCGTAAAGATCCGTTTCAGGGATTTGGCGTCCTTATATATCTGAGAACCGGGCTCGTTGAACAGACATGCGTTCTTGGTCATTTGTAGCAGATCCCGCTCCATCTCCACCAGCGAGGAGTAAGCGTTCATTTGTATTTTGGTCGCAATCAGACGCAGATCAATGGGATGCTCAATAACATCATAGTAGTCTGGATAGATTTTCTTTGAGGGCAGTAGTTGGAACATGCGATACATGGACCGGTCGCCTACGGGATCGGTAGCGGTCATAACGGAGGCGAAGAGCTCCTCGTACTGGTTGTACTCGTCATCAGTTGCGCCATCGCCACCTGGTTCCGTGCTGCTGGTCATACGGCGCACTTGCCGCGACATTCGTCTGGCACGCGGCTCCTCCTCGGCCAATCCATTGGCCTCCATGATGCGTTGCCTCTGCGACTGAATGTGCTGCCACAGGGAGACAGCGTCCTGGTGCTCGCTACTGCCCGGTATGTAGAACGCCTTAGCATTGCCAATAAGCAGCTCCAGGTCGGCCATCAGATCATCCAAATCGTCGTAGGAATCGGTCTTCAGCTTTTGCTGCACCTTGAGCAGATCAATGGGATTGACCACCACGTCATAGTAGGAGGGCTCTTGTCGACGCTTCGGCACGCGGATGAAGGTGTCGCACAGCATGGAACCATCCTCCTTCTTTATGTTCCGTATGGAATCGTACAACTGCTGGCACAATTCTGTAGGATCGAGGCGGCGCTTTTTTCGCGCCGATTGTGTCGTCGTCTGCTGCACCGGCGACTGCTCCGGCGTCGAGTCGTCCAGCTGCAGCGGGTCCTCGTCCTGCCGGCTGGAGATGCTGCTCGCCCGGCGCTTGCGACTCAGCATTGTGTTATCCCTGCTCTTATTTCAGTTAAAATCTAAAAATTCGACAATAAGACGCCACACAAAATGCCACAAATTCTGGGAATGAGCGAAAAACTAGTGGTGAGCGAAAAGTTCGATGGCACGCGTCCGATATATATTTCGATAGCCGGGCAATCGTGGTGAGTTATCGTAATCGGATGGCGCTGTGGTGAAATTTCTTTCAAATTTTATGCTTCTTTCAAAAATCATCTCAGTTAACCAAATGAACAGGCTGAATATCATTTTACTTAAGTTCTTTATTTAAACCTATAGCATCATTTTTCTTTTATTTAGTCATTGAATCACAGCAATATTGTAGATAGTTTTCCATAAACCTGCGCTCCTCTTCGAAAAAAGGCATTTAAGCCAATAGGAACAGCGAAGTTAGGCTGAAATAAAAGTTAAACAAAACCATCTTTAAATTAGGTGTCAGCAAAACGTAAGCGCGTAATTAAAAAGCCATGATATGTCGATTAGCTTAGTAAAATGCGTTGTTTATTATACTTTATCACATAAGTTTTAGACGCTTGTTAGTGTGTGATTGGGTTACAGATTTGAGTATGCAGTAAAATGAAATGAACGCGCACAATCGATGCGCTGCTTAAGGAACATTGTTAAAATCTTATAAAAATAACTCAAATATACGTAGATAAATAGCAGAAAACATGTATGAAATGGAATTCAACACTTCGATTTGAACGACAAGAAATTGAGTGAAGTACACGAAACTCTAACCTACGTCTACTGCAAACGGTTGACTGCGGCTTATGTTGCACCATTACATTTTCTATTTACATGCTAGTTATTGGCGAGATTTCTGCGAATACAATATATCATGGTACACGAGTGCCATAGTTCTTTGTTTACTGGCACCACAGTGATATGCGGGTTTGAGGACTCTGTATAAAGTACAACAATTAAGCACAACAGTTAAAATTGCAACATTTAAATATTAGTATCAGTTCTGCACAACTATACGTGATCATATAACATATGTAAAGGTATATTATATAGTTTCAGCTGCCCATCTCCCATTTTTTGCTTATTTCTCAACAGTTCATTTCGTTTGCCTTGCGACTAGCGGTGGTATTGCGACTGCTCTTACGACTAAGGTTACGATACTTGGTATAGAAACTAGTTAGGCTCTTGAGCGGCGACTCGACAAGGCGCCTCACCGCGTGGCGGTGTATACAAAACGCATTGTCGTGTCGCTTGCGCCAATATCAGTTGATGAAGCTCATGTAGTTAGTAAAGAGCACATAGTTCTCCACTAACCGGGCTCTCAGCTCCCGGCGCACCGTAGCCGTGAATTTGTTGGCCAGGCACAGGGCAGTTGTGGTTCCAAAAACCAGATTGTAAAGCAGTACAATCTGGAAGTTTCCCAACCACTCGATGGCCCCAAAATCGCCCAGCAGGTCAAAGTTTGTGATGCCTGTGAGGGGAAAAAATAGTCGCTTTAAAACATTGTATAATTCTTTAGTAATTTTGCCACTGCTCACCTATGATCCTGCTGAGAAGCGGCAACGCCGAAGACAAAACCAGCATGAAGCCGCAGTTCAGCATTAGCTGTGGCAGCGAAGTCTGTCGCCGCTTGGGACAAACGTTGCGCATGAAGGGCATGCTATAAAAGCCCACCACCGAGGTGGCGCCCAGATAAAAGATGAGACAGACCTCCAGGCCGGCGCCAAAGGGACCCAGCTTCGAAAGCGATGAGATGCCCAATGTGAATTGCTAAATAACGAAAAAGGAACCCAATAAGTATTCGTCATACATTCACTGCAGTCAGACCTACCCTTGTGCTCAGTGGCAGCGCCTTAATGCCAATGAGGAGCTCTAGTGTATTCTGCACAACCAGCAGAATGGTGACACCTGTACAAAAGAGCAGCAGCAGCATGGCCAGCGGGTAGACGAATGTGCGTTGGAAGGTGCTCGATTTGCGCAGCTTGTCCAGTTCCTTGCGCTCGGAGTCCAGTTCTCTCAGTCTATCGTTGAGCTCGCCCACGTCGCTAGCCATCGCCTTGCGCTGGTATAGATGTGGCTGCGAGTGTTGCAGCAGTGGCTGGGGAAAGAAGGTGCGTCCACGTCCCAGTCCAATCCCATTGCCAAGGCGACCTCCATTGGCTGCATCCGAGATGCTAACGTTGTGAAGCTCGATATGTGCTAGCTTCCGCTTCACGCTCGCCTCCTCCATGTAGAAGGCGCTAAACTCCTCATTGACGTCGCGCAGCAGCATGGGTCGCACCAGCACCTGGTTAACAACGCCAAAGAGGCGCACAAAGCCGTACGGGGTGCAAACTGCAAGAAAAGCAAATGGTTGTCCTGGTTACTACACTTGAACATGTTTTAACATTAAAATATAAGATCTAGAACTTATTTCTCGTTGTGTACGAAACGTAAACAAAGGTTTCTATGACATCCCACTCAACTTTGAAATCATTCTATTCTGTGCAGTCAAACCAGTCGGTACTTACCAAACTAAATTTTATTCTTTACATCTTTGAAATGGCTAGCAAAGAGGGTAACAACGATGCCCAACTCAAGGCAACTTTGATAAACTGCAATTTAAACGCCAATGACGCGAATGACTTTGCTGAGTTCGAGGAAACTCTTGCGAAGATCGATAGTATACTGCAGGGCAAGGGACCCTGTGAAGATGATTCAAAAGCAGGTGGCGATGCCAAGGAAAAGATCAACTTTGACAACCTGGACGTGGACAATGTGCGTCTTAAAGTGAAAGAAAATCGCACAGTGATTAATAAGAAGTCCCTAGATGAAGATAACGTAAACCAGGTCAAGGAGATGAACCAGCAGAGTTTCATGGAGCAGGTGGAGAAAGATGCCAATGACCGTGCAGAAGCACGTGCCAAAGCCGAATACGAAGCAGAACTACAGAGAAGGTAAACTTATAATCTCCCTAAAATTATAATATGCATTGGGTTTTTTTTTAGTCAGGGAAACGAAGCATTTCGCAGCCAAAAGTACGAGAAGGCAATTCTACATTACGATAAGGCTATCCTTAAAGTGAAGGACAGCGCTATTACATATTGCAATCGCGCCTTGTGCTACATCAAGTGAGTTACAATCTTGGAGTCTTATGAACTATCCTAATTAGCCATTTTCCTATTCTATCTTCCAGGCTACAGAACTACAAGCGCGCTCTTAAGGACTGCCAGTTCGTGTTGGAGAAGCTGCAGGAGACTCATCTCCGCGCCTGGCTTTACCAGGCCCATGCCTACAAGGGTTTGAAACAGGACGACAAGTTCGAGAAAAGCGTGGCCAAGGCACGTGAACACAATCCCAAACAAGTGGCCTACATTGACAAGTACATTAAGCAACTGGAAGCAGAAGTTTGAAGCACTAGAATTATAACTTATTTATTTTTGCATTATATACTCACTCAGCATAAGCATGACGCCCAAAAATGAGACACACGAATAAAGAAACGGCAGGTGAACACTGCCTAAATCTGTGAAGCATGAAAAGCGGAAATTAGAAATGCATTGTGCATCAGAACCGATCCCAATTTGGGGATGGGCTTGTCAGGGCGCAGACAGACAATTGACATTGGAATTGATCTCTTCCGCACCCGTGCATTAGCATATACCATATACTCACTTAGAAACCAAAAGAATTGAAACTTTTCAATGCCAAAGACTGCACTTAGGACGGCAGTTAGTACCAGGACAATAACGGCCATCAGCATGAATACTGTAAAGGTTTCGTAGACTCGCGGCAGAATTCCCTTCTTGTGACCCACAAATCCCGTGGATTCCGAGAACAAATAGACGAATGGCAGGAAGATGAACAGTGACAGATTGGAGAACAGAAACACATGGTTCCACAGGCCTGTAAAGGGGAATATTACATGGGTAAGTCTATGTTTCGTGGTGGAAAATGTAGTGTGAAGGGTATAGCCGCCAGTAATAATAAAGAACATTGATGGCATTGCAATGGCATATTCTTGATTATATAGCTTGGTGTTCCCTTTGCTTAGTACTTACCCTGTATGAGTGAACTATTGAGCCACTTTACATAGTAGCTGTTGGGATACAGGAGCAGCACCTCGTTGCTGGCAATGGAAACGGGCAGCAGCATGGCAGCCCCTTCGGCAACGGCCAGTGTGAATGTGCACAGCCAAAAGCTATGGGGTTGGGTAGAAAAAGCAAAGAAAACCATTCATTATTGCGAGTGCTAGGCAAGTGACGCGGCAATTAGCGGCACAGGTTGTTGCCTCACCTTATGCGATAGACCAGCACCTCGTCCTCGTCATTCGAATAAAGATCGTCACGGTCGCGCCGCCTAAAACGTGAGACGACCACATAAGAGCTGAAGTAAAGCAAGATGATCAGTAGCAGGAATATCTGAAAGGAAGAATACAACGTGATTGTATATTAAATATTTCTGGCGCAATTCTCTAAAAATCTGCATTCAAATGTAGAAAATTTGTTTAATTTAATTTTTTTTGGAAATTTTTTGAAGTACAAATTCAAAGTAATTAAAAAATGTCCCTAGGCTGAAGTTCTAAACTCCATAACTCAACTTATCTTGATCGGATTTTGAAGTGGCATACCTCTAAATGTTTCTGGCGCAATTCTCTAAAAAGCTGCATTTAAATTTAGAAATTGAATTTTTTTTAATTTTTTTGTCATTTTTTGCTGTTAAGATGTAGAAATTAAAAAAAATTAAAAAATGTCTCTAGGTTGAAGTTCTAAACGCCATAACTCAACTTATCTTGATCGGATTTTGAAGTGGCATACCTCTAAATGTTTCTGGCGCAATTCTCTAAAAAGCTGCATTTAAATTTAGAAATTTAATTTTTTTTAATTTTTTTTGTCATTTTTTGCTGTTAAGATGTAGAAATTCAAAAAAATTAAAAAATGTCTCTAGGCTGAAGTTCTAAACGCCATAACTCAACTTATCTTGATCGGATTTTGAAGTGGCATACCTCTAAATGTTTCTGGTGGAATTCAGTAAAAATCTGCATTCAAAGTTAGAAATTCAATTATTTTAAATTTTTTTGTATTTTTCTTGTTGTATAAATTCAAAAAAATTAATAAATGTCCTAAGGTTGAAGTTCTATACTCCATAACTCATCTTAATCGGATTTTGAAGTGGAATACCTCTAAATATTTCTGGCGCAATTCTCTAAAAATCAGCATTCAAATTTAAAATATTTTTTTAATTTAATTTTTTTGTAATTTCTTTGACGTACAATTTCAAAAAAAAAATTTAAAAATGTCTTCTACCGATATTCCAGAAAATGTTGAAATTTCTCATTTGCACTTCCGCTAGCTGATTAACGGGTACCTGATAGTCGGGGAACTCGACTATAGCATTCTATGTTGTTTTTCTTTTATTTTATTGTGGGTTTCATAGCACATTTCCCTATTCTTGTGTTTAAACAAATGTCAAAAAGTAAACACATCACCCACGCATCTCATTTGTTTTTCTAAATATTTGTCATTACCGCCAACTGTGTGCACATTAGACAGAAACATTTTCGGATAAGTTAATTTCGGAAATCTGCATTAATCTGGCTTAGTGAATATATTACTTGTTGATACCGATATGTGTACAAGATTCAATCTAGTGTCCATCTTTCAATCTTATCGTTGAGAGCACTGCCAGAGTGAATTTAAGGTTTGTTTGTAGACTTGTTCTTAATTTCCGGCTAAATGAACATTTACTTCAAATAATATGTGTATATAGAACAGGTACTCAGGTTTCTCTTGCTTGCAACCCTATATCATCATAAACCACTTGGCAATCGATGAATAATTCTGACTGCCAATAAAACTACTTTCGCATGCGTTCAAAGGTCAGAATAGAAAGATTATCAGTGGCCAACGACAAAACCCGAGGCATTTGATAAGAACTAGCCCGATAACGGTCATTTAAAACCCATTGAATGTCAGCACCGTTTGATTATCCGTACTCTTGACTATTAAAACTGAGTAGATTCGAAATCTGAATCTTCATCAGCAATTTCCATACATTGGACCCACCATTCGGTGGGTAAATATATTTGGGACCACGAAATAGATGCCAATCACAGATGGCACACGTCATATTTTCGCTTTTTTTGTCTATGCGAAAAGCGAAAACAAAACAAAACAAAACGTAAATGGATACAAAAACTGAATAGCCTAGGCGCACAAATAAATCATTAACTGAAGATACTTTTCATGTTCTAGCGGGCAAAAAACGTAAAAAAAAAAATGGCAGAGAGAGCAAAAAGCAATTAATTAATACTCACGTCCCTGCTTTGTTTTGCTATTCTTTGTTTGTTATTCGAGATATTTTCCCTGGTATCTGTGAGATATTCCAATGAATTATACAACACGAGTTTTAATTAAATTTTAACTTCTTTCTGCCTGCATATGAACTGATCAATTAAATTAAATTTACTTTATTACACGCAGCATTTCGCATTTTGGGTCTCGAATCTTTCATCTTTCCATTCGAAATGACCTTCTTTTTAGTCAATATTGGAACAGTTTTCTCTGGCAGTCAACAAAAAATATGGTCAAATATTAAAAATTAAATATAGAGACGTAAATCGCTTGCTATCAACAGTTTGCGTCGCTTTATTTATAGAACTCATGAAAAATGTAGGTACACTGAGTGGCAAAACTATAAGATGCAGTATAAATAAATATTTAAAAGTAAACATTTTGGGCATCTCGATATAGTAGTATTCAAATACTAAAGTGATATGCCCTTACCATTAGGATCTAGTAGGATCTTATGCAGTTATGAAACGCAGCTTATTTTCTAGACTGTGACGTGTTAAACTTGAAACACATAGACGACGAATACCAACTGATATGAGACTCGTATAATGTGTACGCCAAGCATTCCTGAATGAGAACGACTGAGGCAACGATCTTCAAGCTTAGTTTAGTGCTCGTCAGCCGGGAAAACGTGCAACTGCAGTGTGCAGCGCCAAGTGGCATTTGTCACGCTCCAAACGATTTGGATTTGGCCAAACTAAACGATCTGTGCCTCGAAATTAGCTGCACTTGGATCGTAGGCGAACGTCGAGTCAATGACTTGACATGAACTCGAGGGGGAACACAACACGCCCATTCAAATGTGGACGACGACTTGGCTAAAAATAGCATCTACGCCCAAAATGCAGCCAGAAGGCAGAGAAAACGGCGACACTGTGGCCAAAAGGAGGAGGGAGGATCACCAGTCGGACGGGTTTTGGCTTGATTTGTAGACGACTTTGCCGGTGAATGGGCTGCAAAATATTTATACTTTTTCTATACCCAATAGTTGTACCGTACAGGGGTATATGTATTGTACCCAAGGTGGGTTGGTCCACACTTATTGATACCTCTTGATTCTAACTTTGAATGGGGTAACTGCATTTACCAGACTATCGACCACAGGCTTCAGTTACTCAAGTCAGTTTCTTCATCAAAAAGCCTTATCATTACTTTCGAAATGACTAAGAACATAAGTGTGGTGTTACACAGTGCGTTCCAATTTCCCAAGAATTCCTTGCTACTTTACGTGGCATTAGTTTCAACTTGGGTTTGGCTTAATGTTCCTGAATTATTTATGAGAGCTTTGGCATGTTTGCATTTCAATATAGCTTGGAGTCCCACACATCACATATGCGGTGGGTTGACCCACATTCTGTGACGAATTATTCAATTTTCGGCAATCCAATGCAACCAGAAACGCGGACAAGAACCGGTTTCCATTTCCTGGACCAGCCAGAACCTGATCCACAATTCCACAGACCCATCCTCAATGAATAAAATGTGGTGGCATACAAAGCAACCTACAAGTGAATTGTATCTATGCAAGTCTATTCCAACCCTTTCAAATGTGTCCATTTAACGCCTCGTCTGCCATTGTTTAAACAAATTCAACAGCTGGTCACGACTGCGGACACTTTCAGTGCCCCAGACAGTACCAATTCGTGACCACTAGCCGTGCACTTGAAATCTGGCCTGCAAGTGTGGGCCAAATGAAACCAACTTTTCACAAAAGGAAATTAATGCCTTGCGCAATATAATAAACATGTGTGTTTATTCGGTTGTCTGTTGTTTACATAAATCACTGGTTTCTGTTATTACACGCCCAAAATTTCTATAAATAGTAGCTCGAGTGAAACACTTTCACTTGTTGCTTTTGGTTTTTTTCCCTGAATTGATTAATTTCGATTTGAATTGCAAGTTCTGCCAGCTGAACTTATGTACTGTATTCGCTCAAATTAAATGGAGTTTGTTGTTTATCTTATCGGTTCCTTGGACTTCTAGTTACCTTCCATTTTCCAAATAGGAAATCAATACCTAATTATTACCTATGATCCCAATAACCAATAAACTTAAGTGCTACATTATTGGGAACTATTTAAACTACTTAATGCTTCTTCCTATTTGAGTATTTGAATTCAAGTACTCATAAAAAGTGCATAACATTTCTTTAAAGAAATAATTTAAAATAATGAAATCTATTTTTATTTAATGAAATTAGCATAATCAGGTAAGTCATTAAACGAATTGAGTTTGGTAATGTATTGGTACATTACGAAATTTAAATGAAATCATATATTTTTAAAAGATAATTTGCAAGTAACTCGCCGTCGAATCTTCGATTATGTTTACACCTTTTGATTAACAACAGGTGTCCGTCCGTGTGCGCGGTTTTTCGTATGTCTGCGTGATAATTTTCGCAGCCCAAGTAGAAAGTGCAAGAAGAGAGTGGCTGCTATCGCTATCGCCGCCACTTCCTTCCCCGATTATATATACAAAGGCGAAACGCAGGCGCCGAATGTGCTAACTAGTGTAGTCCAAAACCGATAACAGAACCATAAACAAATAAATTTCTGTGGACGTCCGCCAACTGATTTCTCTGTTTATCAAACGGCAAGGCAAAGTGTGTGTAATTTCAGAAGTCGTGAGCATTTTACACCCCGCCACATGTACAGTTAGAACAACAACAACAATCTTAATAACAAAACGGACAGCTGCGCCCGTAGTTGTTGTTGTTGTTTTTGCGTAGTGGGGTGGGAAAGTTGGGCGGAAAGGGGATGACGGTAATAAAGAAAAACACTTACAATGTGCTCGCGTACTGTATTGTGGAACAATTGCAGCTTCAGATCCGTGACCTCCTCCTCTTCCTCCTCGTCCATGCCCACGAAAAATGTGGACAATTTATCGCTGGTAGCCAGTTTTTACTTTTTTTATTCCTAGATCACGCCTCACTTAAAAATGTAGCATATAGTTTTGACAGTTGCCAGAGTCTGCGAAATTCCTATAGGCAACAGTCCTTCTTCGTAAGACGCTCCACGGGGCTAATTTTCTGAATTAAAATCTTCGTGGCGCCACACTGACTGATTTCGCACGGTAATTGTGATTAATTTAGTTAACTTTGTGATGCCGCATTGCGTTTCGCCCGTTTTGCGCTGGTCACTACTTTTCCACAAAAACTCGCGCCGATTTGCGACCGAAATGTTAAAAGATTTCTATAGACTGGCGTCAGAGTGACCGCATCTGCTAGTGGTGGGCAATCGACGATATGTCGATAGCCTTGTCAGTATTAAATTTTATAATATTGAACACAAAAATAAACAATTTAATATTGTTGTTCAACTTTCTTATTAAAGCTACGATGTAGTTTTAATCTACAAAATAAAATTGCAGTTCAATAATATCGTCAAGAAAACGGCAGCCCTTAAGATAATCTGGTAACTCTATCGCTGTCAGCTGTTACCATACAAAAATGTCCAATTTGCGGCGCCAGGTAAATTAAGTAAAAATGTACAAATAATCTGTTAATATAGTTTGTATTCAAGGTTCTCAGTGCTTTTAAGAAGCTCCATCGTACACGACAGTACGTGTTCCAGGGGGATGCCAATGCCCTGGCGGCGGGACGAGTGAAAATCAACGAATCTTTCCTGCAGAATCGCAATGAGAGCAGCGAGAATGAGATTCAGAAGGTCTAACTACTTTTTGTAAATTCTTAGTAAGTTGCTTACAAATTGGTAAATTACAGATGATAAAGCTGGCGCAGGACGTAGACCTGGAGCTGCGCACGAATGTCATCCAAGCCCAGAAAAAGGACGATGATGTTTATGGTCAGAGCAACATGGTGATTACATAAATGAGCGCTTAAAACTCAAATTACTCTATATTTACAGAGCTGAGAATCACGCCAGAGACAACGCGACTCGACAATGTGGTTTTCAATCCTGATGCAATCATCGAAAAACCGCGCAGGCAACGCGGCGACAAAAACACTGAAGGTTGCTGCGGTGGCGCTGCGATGGCAGCCCTTGAAGCCGAGGTCCAGGCCCGCAACAAGTAGAACTATATTCAATATGTAGCTGTAGTCAAGGTTTTGTTCTGATTAATTATGTCGTTTATCTTTAATGATGTCTTTATCTATGATGTTTCTTCTTCGCTTTGTGACTACTCTTCGACTTGGATTTCTTCTGCTTGGATTTTGTACTCTTTTTGCGCTTGCTGCGTTCGTCAGACGATGTGGAGCTGCTGGAGCTGTCCTCGGATCTATCTGAAGATGTGGAGTCACTTTCGGATTCCGAGGAACTTTCACTCGAATCTGTACTACTGCTAACTGCTCGTTTCGATTTCTTGGCTCGCTTTTTGCTCTTTTCCACTGAAAGTTTTCGTTTTTTCTCAGGACTCTTGTTTCTGCTTGAGTGAGTATCAACTCTATGGTTTACCCGGTCCCTGGATTGTTGTCTGTGAAAAGATAGGTTTAGAAGATTTTTTATTAATCCTGATGCCTAAATGTTTTAAAATACATACCTTCGCTCTGGAGATCTTTTTTGATTCCTGAGGGTGTCTCTATGGGAACCACCACTGTCTTCGGTACGTCTTCTCTCTTGAGGGGAATTGAATCTTCTGCTTTTATTATGATCTCTGTTTTGAGGTGGTCTTTTTTCAGTTTGATCTCTAGATCTAGAACGCCTTCTTTCGTTTTGTTCCCTTGGCCTGGAGCGTCTTCTTTCCTTTTGATCTCTCGACCTAGAACGTTCTCTTTCTAATTGGTCTCTAGGCCTAGAACGCCTTCTCTCTTCTCGATCCCTTGACCTAGAATGTCTTCTATGTGTTCTATCCCGTGACCTTGATGATCTCTCATTGCGAATCCTTTCCCGATCAGAGTTTTTCCTTGCTGACCCATTTGGCCAATTTCTTGATCTAGAGCGATTTTGTTCTTGTTTTTCCCTCGATCTGGTCCGTCTTCGCACATTTTTTCGATCATCTCGTTCGCTTTGCTCCTGGTGACGCTGTTCCCTCGCTTTTTTTCGCTCTGCAGAGCTCATCCTGTTTCGAGGATCATCAGCCCTCTTGGGTTCTCTATGGTCTTCCGTTCTGGACCGCCCATCGTTGGATTTCCTGTGATCTTTGTTGTCTCGCAAATTGTCAAAGTCCAGCTTGCCATAGTCGCCCACAACACCACGTCCTTTGCCCCGCCAGGTTACCTTGGACACGGACTGGGAGAAGTCCACGTGAATGCGTCGATCGTCAATTAGCACGTTATCCATTTTGAAATACGCGGCCTCACAAGATTTTTGTTCCTCGAACTCCACAAAAGCATACTGAAGGGAATCTCCTGTTTTGCGGTCGCGAATCACCTCGCATCCTTTAAGCATGCCAAAGCTACTAAAGATTATCTCCAGATCATCGTCGGTTGTAACAGGATTGAGTTTGCACACGAACAAAACATTTTCTGGCGGAGCCATGTCCGCATCGGGTAGATCGCCGACAATCTCAAGGATTGTGGCTCGAGCCTTGGCCTCTCGTTCGGCCAGCATCTCCTGCAGCTCTTCCGTGGTCATGCCATCTGTGTCATCGATATCCTCGTCGGCAGCGATGCGTCCGTTTTTCAGGCGCTCCGCACTGGGCGAAGGGGAACGACTAGGGGCCTGAAGGCCTCGCGGATTAGGAAACGGATCCTCCAGTACAACAGTGTGCGTGATGCGTATATCTTGATAAGGACGGAAGCTGTCGTCCACAATGGCGTCGTTTAGCTTGCGCAGCACCTCGTGACCTTCCACCACTTCACCGATAACGCAATGGTTGCCGTCCAGCGATGTTAGGTTCTCACCCAGCGTGAGAAAGAATTGAGATCCCACCAGATTCTTGCCTGCACTGACCAGCGATAGCATTCCAGCACTGGAGTGGTTAATCTTAGGGATGAACTCCGCCTCGAAGAAGCGCTTTTGTAGGCCCTCCACCACGCCCCAGATCGAGGAGCCACCGTCTCCAGCTCCACTTGGATCGCCGGTTTGGGCGATGAATCCCTGCTGCACCGTGTGAAAAAGATTGAAGTTGTAGTACTTCAGCCGGCACAACTTCAGGAAGTTTAGGCAGGCGACTGGGCGCTCGCTGATGAACAGGTCGACGGTCAGATCACCCATCGTGGTTTCTATAACCACCGACATAATGCGAATTCACAGATACCGGCAAAAATCAAGGGATAAACAAGCACAATATCGAATAAATGGTCTTTAGAGATGGCACCAAAGCGATTACTACAGATAAGGAGAACCACAAAATGTATCGAAAAAAATATTTATATATTTTTTATTATTTTGAATAAAATTAACTGAATTAATTGAATAAGCGACAATAAAGAAAATACAAATTGGGAAAAATTAAGTGCAGACCTGGAAATAAGAACATACGATATCTGATAGTTCATCCGATAGTTGACTTAGTGGTCGCCATTTTCGATTGACATTCGATAATTGTGTGTGTATCAGTGAGTCTTGTCAGGAAATTTTCACACGTTTCGAGACGGGAAGAAAAAATATAAAAAATTTAATTTCAATCTTAAAAAGCGACAAAGTTCTAGTTAGGCAAGTGACCAGTGATCTAAAACAAAACGTAATGCCCGAGGCAGGAAAGAAAATCGCGGAATTGCGCGTGTGTGATCTAAAGAGTGAGCTGGAGAAACGCGAATTGGAGACTGTTGGCCCCAAGGCGGTGCTCATCGAACGCCTAGAAAAAGTAAGTCCACTCAAATTTATGCAGTTTAAATCGCGTTTCAGTGCCGCTGGCGATAGAGATGGTGATGCAATTACTGGGGATGTACATATGTATGAATGTGTATAGGCAACGTGTGTTTCTATTTTCAAGTCACTGAGAGCTGAAGGACTCGACCCGGCAACCCACTTGATTATGCCCGGCGCAAAGGGCAAGAAGCCGATCGCCATGCCCATGAAGGATCCCCAGTCGGTGGTGATGATCAAGGAGGAGCCCATCGATGCCGATGAGCAGGTGGAACAGCAAGATGATTACGGGAACGGTAACGACTTCTCGCATCATGCCGACGACGATGGGCATGAGATTGACCAGGTGGGCGATGTAGACGACGAGTGTGTGATCCTGGATGACGACGATGAAGAGGAGGAGGATCAGGAGTACGACGATGAGCCCCAGAACGGCGATGCCGATGGCGAAGCTCAGGACGATGGAGTCAAGAACAATGGCGACGACGGGGCTATCAATGACATGCATGGTGAGGAGGAGAACACCGGTGACACCGTAAATATGGACAATGACGAGTCGATCAATTTGACCATTGGGGAGGAAGAACAAAAGCTGCTGCACGATGAGGTGATTTTAACTAACCGGCCTTTAATTGTTGTATTCTAATTCAATTCGCTTTATCTTCAGGCTCCCGACGACAAATCTATTAAATCTGGTATGTTTACAGAGAGAAAAACCCGTATATACGATAGTATAACTGAAAACTATTCAGCTTTCATGGTTAGAAATATCATGGGATTTGTATTCATGCAATTGTTTCATAATCGAAATGTCTTTGTTTCCCAAATGCGCATAAATCTACATGTTGGTTCTTGTTTCCGTCGGTGTATTTTATATACAAGATCACTATGGAGTTTTTTTTAAATAGGGTTAATAGGCTAATAAAAGATACATTGATTTACAGTGAAACCGGCCAATAAATCCGAAAAGTCTAACTCAAAGGATTCCGACAAGAAGAATGACGAGGGAGCTCGCTCCAAGAAAAGGGATGAGAAATCCTGTGACAAGAAGGACTCTAGGTAGGGGTTACAAACGTTTCTGTGATAATATTTCTGCTAATAATATTATACTTTATTTCTTTTCATTCCGTCACATGGATGTTAACATTTTATTTTGGAATATAGCGATCAAAAGTCCTCAGGAAAGTCGTCGAACCAAAAGGATGATAAAGGTAAATTAAGTTAAAGTTTTAGCATGAATAAGAATGGTGTGTTCGGAAGGTCTTGCGTTGGGAATGATCAGACCAAGCATGAACCCAGTTAAGGTCGAAAAAATTGACTAAACCATTGAGGAACATGTATCAAAGACCGTGCAAGAGAGTGTGAATTTGGTTGGGACACGGACGCGTACCAACAAGGATGCGAAATTTCGGCACAGGAGCGGCGATGCATCTTTAAATCCAGCAATTTGAGTTAATCTTAAAGTGTTTGTTCCAGTTCACTTCGACGGAAACTTTATACTAATCAAACACACATCTTAATGTTCTCCATGGAGTTTTTAACATTGGTCATCAATAGGCGTATGTGCAAATACTCGGTTGAGGGGTATAACAATATAGAATCGGGCTGTCGCAAGTATCTGGAGAGTAAATGGATGGAACCTTTCGTTTACCGCAGCTGGGAAATGCGGATATTTCTTATTCTTCTCGGCAGATAACTACTGGATTGGGATTACATCACTTACATCGATCTTGACTAGGAAATGCTAATTTCACCTTTCGATGGCGATTGAAACACACACAGACACCGATTAAAACAGTCAGCTCTGGATATGCTGCTCTGTACCTGGACCCCTGCAGCAAAAAGCGAGCATACTGCTGCGATTGATATTTATCAGCAACCCAATCAAATTCATACTCTCTTAGCTTCGTTAGGTGAAGTTTGTCGGTAATCTTACGATTGTGCTCTAAACTCCAACATCTGCAGCAGCTACAAAATGTGTGCGTTCACAAAATGCTTCCCTTAAAAACGTATCATAAACAAAAACAGTTAACCAGTTAAGCCCACTCAAAGCTCTGACCATATCTCTCTTCCAATATTATTATTTACATGGAACTTGCAGAGAAATCGACAGCAGCACCTGGTGCCACATCCTCCACTGCATCGAGTGCCGCTGGCAGTAAATCGGGATCCGGTTCAAGTGCTGGCAATGGTACCGGGGCCAACAAGCAGGCGACGCTGTCGCGTAATCTATGGGTTTCTGGGCTGTCTACTTTGACCCGTGCCAGCGACCTTAAGGCTATCTTCTCCAAGTTTGGCAAGGTGATTGGGGCCAAGGTGGTCACCAATACGCGTACTCCGGGCACTCGCTGCTACGGATACGTGACCATGTCCTCCTCGGCGGACGCCTCGCGGTGCATCGAGAATCTGCACCGCACCGAGTTGCATGGACGCATCATTTCGGTGGAGCGTACCAAGAACGAGATTGGCGGCAGCTTGAATTCCAAGGAGAGCAAGGGCAAGACTCCGGGCGACGCTGGAAACAAGAAGAAGGAAGACGACAGTGGCAAAAAATCCGGTAGCGGCAAGGGCTCCAGCTCCAACGGTGGCGACGACAAGAAGGGCGGCGATGGAAACGGTGACAACAAGTCCGTTGGCGGCGATTCAAAGCGTGATGGCAAGGAGAGCAACAGGGACCGCAGCCGTCGCATTGATGATCGGGGCAAGTCGTCAGCTAGCCAGGATAGACCGCGCCACGATCGCGAGCGATCCGGGAAGGGTAGCCAGGATCATCGTTCCGGGCGCAATCCGCGCGACGTCGACCGTGAGATTCAGCAGCGCCAGAGGGAGCGCGAGCGGCGACAACGGGAGATGCTGTCCTACCAGAAGATACGTGAGGAGCGCGAGCGCCAGCGTCTTCGGGAAAGAGAGCGTGAGCTGCGTGAGGAGGAGCGTCGCCGTCGGGAGGCCCGTGAGCGCCAGCGCATCGAAGAGGAGCGTCTGCAGGAAGAGCGGCGCAAGCTCGCTGTGGAGCGGGAACGGCTCGAGCGGGAAAAGGCCGAGCTTTTGCGGATGGAGCGCGAGCGCCAGAAGCTGGAGCGAGAAAAAATCGAGCTGGAGCGCCTCGAGCTGAAGCGACAACAGATGAAGTATGCTAAAAAAAAAAACCAAAACAGACCGTAATGCGTTGCACTCGTGCCAACGCAGAGACGACAACACAGATATACCAATATATTTACTTTATACTCTCTCGGAAAGCATTTGTCCTTGTGATTAGCGTGTTAAGTTGCAGCCTCCACGTTGTTTCTTCAACTCAAATTGCTTTTAAGCGGAACGTTGATAGGCAAATGCATCCTAGTCTAAAGTCTGAGTCTGATACCCCCACTTCCCTGCAGAACTGCCCTTGCTAGCACTACTAACTCAACTCTTTTATTTCTTCCATCTCTCTTCCTCTCAATCTTGTCGATTCACACAAACAGGATCATGGAGTCCCGCGATGATCCTGGCAAGCGCGGGGTAAGCAAGCGCGCCGACGACCGCTATGGAGACGTTACTGATCGTAAGCGTACAGCTATTTTTGATGCTCCACCACCACCGAGATTCGACACGAATCTAGTCAGCTCCCGCAGGTAAGATTTCTTCGTAAAAAATAACGTGCGAGTTACAATTATGTCTTTGCAGCACCTATGACAAAAAACACGATGACTACGGATCCTCTTCTACCACCAAGCGTGTGTTGGAGGACTACTCTAGTTCCAACAAGCGTCTGGATTACTCCAGCAAGCGCAACGACTACAGCACCTCTTCTGGATCCAAGCGTGGTGCTGTCGATGATTATGCCGCCGTGCCCACCAAGCGCTCCAACGATTACAGTGCCTCCTCTTCCAGCAAGCGGGACGACTATAAGCGCGAAGAAGTGCGTCATATGCCACTTTCAGGAACTGCCGGCGGTGGCTCTAGCAGCTCATACCTGCACAAGAACAACACAGGCGGTGGCGGAGCCGGATCCTATGTACACAAAAACAACACCAGCGGCACCGGCGGACGGTACAACGATTCCGATCGCAGCAACACATCGAGCTATAGACGCGATGACTCCCACAGCCTGTACCTATTAAAAAAACCACATTAAACGAGCTACGATGGGTTCTAACTATTCTTATTTTTGATTTTAGGGGTAACAAGCGTTATGAAAACTCCAGCGGCGGCGGTGGAGCCTATGGTAGCAGCGCGAACAGCGTTAACATCTGGGCTCCATCATCCGGCGGAAGCAGCTCTCACCTAGGCAGCGGTGGCGGAGGCAACCAAATTAAGTCATACGGCAACAACGGTCTATCCTCGAATATGCACAGCACCAACTCCTGGCAGAAGTCTACTCCCGTTGACGACAACGGTTGGCGCCAAGTGCCCGGACGCTTCGATCGCGGATACAACGAACGTTCGACCGGCTATCAAGGACAAAGTGGAGGCGGAGGAACAGGCGGCATGTACGGTGCGAGCCGACCCGCCCAGGATCGCTATAGCGGACCAGTGTCGCGCTATTAGGGAACGTGCATTTTAAATGAGGCAGTTCGAATTTCGAAACATGCAACCCCGCATCCAACACACCCCGCCCGAATGACTTTTCCAGCAGCGCCTAGGAGAGCTGTTTTTACTTTAGTGCACTTTAGTTGTAGTTTTAACTCTTAAAATTACATTTGGAAACCAATAAATGTATTATCAAACTATGAGGAAAATATGTACACAATCGTGGTACATCTGTAGGATTTATTGAACCTATAACTGTGGATAATCGCCTTCGTATGAGGATATTAGTGGCGTGGTCGTGTCCACTAGCACCAGAACGCTGTGAGCCAAAGGATAAACATCGTGCACCTGGACGTAGTAACCTCTGTCGCACTGCTCCTTGGAGGAGAAGAGCCTGCAGGAGATGCAGGTAAAAATACTACATACAAAGCTCAATTGCAAATTAAAGACTTACGCCAATATATCCACTGGTTCCAGTATCAGTTCCGACTTGTAGACCGAGGCCAGAAAGTTTGTAAACGCTGCCGTGTTGTTACCCAGTTCCAATTCTGTGTTGGGTGTGCAGATCTCCAGCCCAAGTCCACTGTTGGTCGAACCAATCCCCGGCAGACCATTACGAGTGCCCCAAACGGTGATGATATTGTCTTCCGAGGCAACAATGGTGCACTGGTCGCTGCAGTTCGCCTTCTAAGGGCGTCGGTTTAGAGGTAATTTCACAACTTACGCAGAGTAATACAAACCACAATATACCGTGACTTGACGGAATCCACCATGGTGGGGTGATCAACCGAGTTGCAGTGCCCGATTCCCCGCTGACCCTCCGCATTTCGACCCATGGTATAGACATAGCCGCCCTCCACCAGGAACACCGAATGGGTGGACGAGAAGCACGCCTGAATCACCTTGTGGGGCAGTTGGACCTTTTTCTGCGGAGTAGAAATTCAGGGTATGCAATGGGTATAATGGGTAACTCAAGATTGTGGACCTACGAAGGCTGTAATCTTCGACGGACGTTGGAAACCAAGTTTATTGTAGTCATTGCTGCCACAGACGTGCAGTTCTCCGTTGGCGAACAACACAGCTGATGTATCGGGACCGCAGTAAATCTTGGATGGCTTGGTTTTCACATGCGATAGAAGAATCTTTTGGGGGAATTTTCTGGTGGAATTATGAGTTTAGAGAGATGGTGATAAATAATCTTAATCTCCTTGAACCCACTGTTGCTGCTGATAATTTCCAAGACCAAGAGCTCCGCATGTACTCGTGCCCCACACGTAGACCGCTCCCTCTCGACTCAAGGCCAGAACGTGGTGGAGTCCAGCAGCCACCTGCTCCACCCGGACATCCGCCAATCGGGCGACCAGTTTGGGGCTGTGGTAGTTGCGTTGCTCGTCCTGCCCCAGTGCCAGATGGGCATTGCTCCCGCAGCTTAGCAGACTGCCCGCCTGAGTGACCAGGATAGTAAAGCCATCGCCGGCACAGGCGCTCACGAGATGGTAGTTGCGCACGCTCTCCATACGGCTTGGGTAGTGCTTCCAGGCCTCCAGTGCGGTGAGACCCAGCTGGCCGTAAGTGCCCTCACCCCAGGCGTATGCCGATCCGTCCTCGTTGACCACCACGAAGTGGGAATCTGACATCGCTACGCCCACGATGACAGCCTTCGGCGGCAGTTGGATGGGCGCCATGCTGAAGCAGGTGCCGAAGGCCTTCAGCTGGTATAGCACGGATCTGCAGGTGGGCTGCTGGATTAGATCGTCGTAGTGGACGTGGACTAACCCATTACCGTTTCTCAAGGATCTCGTGCGGCGCCGCTGTCTCCGCACTCATTAATTGCTTGGTCTCCGTCTGGGCGGTGGGCAATTCCAGCTCCATGGACACATTGCTGTGGGCGGCGGCTGGATCAGGAGCAGTCAATTGGTCGCCGCCGCTGCCTCCCACATCATCCTCGTAGGAGTACCTGCGAGTTCAGGATAGGTCAAGAGCTGGCGGTAAGTGAATTCAGGCATACCCCTTATTCTTTCCCAGACTACGGAATATCAGCGGAATCCAGTAAACCAAAACCTCTGATGCGGTAGGTCGCCGTGGTGCCTCCACTTGAAGCAGGTTGGACATTAAACTGCGAAGTCCCGAGGTGTAACCCGATGGCACGGGCGTATAGTTCCCTGCCATAATCTTGGTAACCAGTTCGGATAGATTGGAGGCAGCAAACGTTTTCTTCAGGCAGCACATCTCGCCCAGAATGCAGCCCAGTGCCCAAATATCACTCTTGTTGTCGTACTCCTTACCCTCACACTGGAAACCATGGCAGTATTAGGGTATGGTCAACTATATCGACCCATTAAACAAATTACCATCTCCGGACTGAAGTAGTAGGGTGTGCCCAAAACAGTCTGGGCATGTATCTTGGTGTTCATTATTTTGGATATGCCGAAATCTCCGATTTTCACAATACCCCGCCTGTTTAGGAATACATTCGCGGTCTTCAAATCCCTGAATGCAAAACGAATATTGTAATCAACTTTCTTCTAGAATATTCAAAGATGACTTTGTTACCGATGCAGGATGTTCTCCGAGTGCATGTAGTTAATGGCACTGGATATCTGCTCGAATACGGCTATTATATAGCGTTCAGGGAAATGCAATTTACCCTGCCGCTCGGCGATGATGTGGGCCAGTGTCCCTCCATCGGCGTACTCCATCTCGATGAGCAGACTGTTGTCCTTGATGAAGCTTCCGAGGTAGCTCACAATATTCGGATGATGTAATTTCGAGAAGACATCAACCTCGTTCATGGCCAGATCCCGACCAGGCGGGGTCAACTCACTCAAGTTGATTTGCTTGAAGACGATCTGGTGCCCGTCGGACTTGCGCCGGTACAGGATGGCGATGCCAAAGGAACCCTGGCCCACCACTCGCACCTTTTCATAGTTAGCCAATTCAGGTCCTGCCACTCCCACTGCCGCCTCCCGGGGAACACTGAGCTGCAGGAGGCTCTCCTGTCGGTATGGCACCTGTGCCTTACTGCTCGACATGGCCTCCGCCAAGGAGGTACTGGCCGCTCCGGTGGTGCCGTCCGTAATGGTAAAAACCGTGGGCAGGACCCTGGTGCAAGTCGATTGCTTCCGCTGTGAAGCCTGACCCAAGGGTAACTGCAGCGAACTGGTGGTCAGCGTGGTGGCGTCGGTTATGCGACCGTTGAATATGGGCAGGGAGGTCGCCTTGGCCCGAAACTTCTTCATCTCCTTCAAGCGGATTCAGCCTACGCCTTGGCCATCCAAAATCGAATAGTATCCTGTCTATTGTATAATTATCCTTTGGCATGTCCCAGCCATAGTTGTGGTCACAATCGTTGCTAGGTAAAGTGGGTGACACGACGTATGGGTGGGTGGACCTGAGCTCGCGTTATCAGTGGGCCTGCTAATTGGACAGCCCGGCAGTGAGGGGATGCTATCATAAGCCATTGGAACGGAAAGAGGATAATATTTGCAGGGCCACAATTCCGAATAATCGATGTTTATTTCTCGGTTTGAAGTGGTTAGAGAAAATCAAAATGAACAAATCCCCTTACTCATTGTCTTATAACATATATGTATATAGTGGCATATGTACCATAGTATAACCAAAGACACTAGAATAATATTTATAATATTTTGTCAAATTTACAATAAAATTACAATTAAATTTACAAATTTACAATTTACAAATTTACGTGTGCACACATACAGTGATCGGCTGTCGCTGTATGCGTACAAGAGAGCTGCTGGCTCTAGAGCGCTCTCTCTCTGGCTCTGGACCAAAATTCGAGAGAGCCTGGAGCCAGCTCTAGAGCCAGCACGAAAAAATCGTGTGCAAAAAAATCGTATGGCGTTACGCATCTTATTATTCTAGTATCTTTGGTATAACACTTTGTTACGCATACTCATACACACACGCACACACACACAGCTCATATGTTCCACTTGATCACACCCACTCAATCACACCAATATTAAATGATTAATTTGCCCAGCAACAGATTTAGATTTAATTCCTTCGCTCGATACTGAAGACGTGAATTGTCTCCGCTTCCGCGATTGTACATTTATTTGAATAAAGAATTTATATTTTTTTCTAAATAAATTACCGTGGATTCGGTAATATATACATACAGCTGCGGTTAAAATAATTGCATTACTGCAGGTGGAAAGTTGATTTCCTAAAAAAAATTATTGAATGTTTATTTTTATATATATATATATATATATATATATATATTTTATATATTTTATATATATATTCCTCGAATTCATTCTCAAACATCAAAAGACCACAGACGATATGTTCATTGTTTTATTAGAGTTTTTAGCAGCTCCAGTTAATACAAAAATTTTATCAATCGTAGCTCATGTCCTCCTGTTTTTGATGATTGTCGCAGAAAGGACAGCCAGAAAAAACGACTGAAAAATGAATTATTTTAGACTATTCAGACTAAATATTTTAGATATTTTATACTAAATTCAGAGAAAACCCGTCTATCAGAAACCCGTTATTCAGCTAGTGAAAGTACTAAAGAGAAATTACAAATTTTCTGGAATATCGGTAGAAATTGGTAGAATATGTACTTAATATGGTCGGAAACGCTTCCTTTTGACAGTTACGCTTGTACTTTTCAACGTATCTAGAACACCCTTTTTGTCTACGAGTAACAAGTATAATTACACATAGCACTTATACATATGTAGTAGTTAAAATATTAGTTTCAAGTACATACTAGCCGGTTTAGCTGTTATGCGTAGAGTCAGCAAGAGGACGACGACGACTACGAAGATGAGAATATTAGCCACGTACATTCTGAGCGATAGATAGAAACTAATCAATGGTGCCTTGAAAAACAAGGTATATATTTATATTTGAAGTAAAAAAATAAATTGATAAGAAACGCGTGTCGTATAGCGTTGAAGTGATAGTATACTTTGGTAAAAAATACATTCCCCCATGGCACATAGACTTGATTTCTTTTCTTACGAGTATAAATGTATTTATATTTAGCATTAGATTATAATTATTGAAATCGAGACAATATGCATGTATAATCGACCGTTATGTATTTGCTGGAATATGCTAAAATATTTATGCTATCTTCTCTCGGACTAAGTATACCTTAAAATGCACAATCTGAACGCTTCACACACACTTCTATCAGGAATGCAATGCAGGCAGCCCAGTCCCTCAACTGGTTTGCATCTAAAAGGTGGCCCGTTCGCGAACTTGGCCACAATGCTACAGCGCTCAATAGCTTTGGACAACTTGTTCAGGTTCTGCAGTTTGCGGTTGCGATCGCATCGTAATCCATTGATGAGTACTTAGCAGGTGCAGCGATTCTCGCCGGAAAGACTGCCCAGACTGAAGGTTCCTAGGCCATTGGAGCCGGGTGATTTCTTGTCTTTGCTCTCGTCATTATCAAAGTTATCCCCCTGTGAGAAAAATTAAGTATTTGCGTTGGTTGTCTACCTATTGGGGCTTTTTAAGCATATTACCCGCCGCTCCCTTTGCTCGCGAATTTTCCGGGCCAACGACAGGAAGGCATCCTCGATATTGATGTTGGACTTGCAAGACACCTCAAAGAAGGGCATATCAAAGTTTTCGGCAATCTGGAGAGCATACGGTGCTGTTATAGATGTTGATCACTGGTGCACTCACTCACCTTTTCGCCCCTTTCCTTGTCCACCATGCGCTGGGTGGCGGAGCATTCGCATTTGTTGCCCGCCAGCACCTTCACCACGTCCGGCGAGGCATTCTCCTGGATGTTGCGCAACCAGTAGGACAGGTTGTTGTAGCTCTCCAGGTTGGTCACGTCGTACATTAGGAGGATGCCCATGGCGCCTCTATAGTACGCCGTGGTCAATGTCCGGAATCTCTCCTGGCCTGCCGTGTCCCAGATTTGCAGCTTTATGGGCACGCCATCGAGGTTAATCAGCTTCTGCTTGAAGTCTATGCCTGGTGGAGGATGAAATGGGATGATAGTGGGGATTACAGCAGTGGTAGAAATAATTGTTTTCAAAACAAATAGGAAACCTTAATATTTAAATTCCTAATGTATTGAAAACTATTTGAATAGCTACAAATTTTAGGGAATTCTGTCATAAAAATAGTTATGCAAACCATTCTAAATGAATAGGCGTCAAGTAAGTGTCCGATTTCCGAAATAGTAACAATAGTGTTTCGACATTATATTTTTCAAATCAAATCTGAAATATTATTTCGGGGCTGCTGTGACCACATTGGGAGCACTTACCTATCGTAGAGATGTATGTGTCGTAGTACTTTTCATCGCAATATCTGTGGACGATGCAGGTCTTGCCCACATTGGAGTCGCCCAGCACCAGAACCTTATAGGTGGCCACAAAGTCTAGTGCCATGTTGACGGAGCTGGCGGAGTTTTCGTTAGGAATTGTAATATTAACTGCGGAGGTTTTCGGTTACAGATGGGCTGGCGTTGTTGTTATTGGTAGTTGGGTGGTGCAAGTGGTGGTGGTGGTTCCGTTTTGGCTACGAGGGGTAGTAGCGGGCTGCAGCTTGTGCTTGTTTATGTATCCGCTGGCCTGGCTTGTTTGTTGCTGCTCGCAGCTGTTCCACCTCGAGTTGCAGCGGCGTCACACGGATTTGTTGTAAATTTTCACAGTTTCCACAACAAAAACAGTGCGGAGCTCATGCTAATTGACAAGTGGCTTATGGCATAAGTCGTACGATTTAACCTTTATTTCATTTGTATTTTAATGTAATATATAAGTGGTGTTAAGTGTGCATAATGTGCCACTTCAGAGGCGGAGTCGAATTACGCCGTTCGCGTGAATCAACCTCGAAGCACTGACTACGAAACAAACCAGCCCGTGGATGCGGAGTGGAGTCAACTAATCAATAGACCTGCGCACGCGCAGCAGCAGCATTCAGTTACCGAATAATCGAAATCGGAATTCAAATCGAGGGTGTTCGCGGGCTCTCTGGCTTATCAATAGTAATAATATTAGACATAGGTGTACACAATAGATATGGAGTTACATGTTCAAAAATAGAGTTGTTCATTGCTTAACTTAGTGCGGTTGGGTAGGAAGAGAAAGTCGAGTCCAGTGCTGCTTACATCACAAAGACCTTTTCGACCTTGGGGTTGGAGAACTTCGTATTGGTCACCGGACAGGTGACGGTGCCGTCGTCTTTGGTGATGTCCGGCAGAGCCATCTGGCCAAAGATCTGTCCGTTGGGCAGCATCATCGGTTGATTGTGCTCGTTCAGCGGCAGCCCTGTGACCCGGCATATAAGTCGGCTCTGCACACAGTGCGAGTATGGCAACTTGAGAGCGATGCGGTTGAGATCCTCCTGACACACCGGGCAGTTTAGATTGCGGCAGGTCTGGGCATAGCAGTGGGGCGTCTTCAGGGCCGACAGTCCGGCCTGTACGGCTGCCGAGAAGACTGACGTACTGGATAGCTGGAAGAGGCGGTAGTTCTCTTGGCGAAAGTCCAACACCAACTTCTGCCAGCGCTGTGGATCCATATACTTGCGGTAGTGCTCTGCTTGGGCATCGGCTGGATAGGCCAGTAGGGCCATCACGTGACAGATCTCATTTAGCTGAGTTTTCTCGTAGGCGGGGAAGTAGCGACGCGAATGCTTCACAGCCTCAAAACGCTGATTTTGACGAACTAGCTCTATGAACTCTTGCACCCTCAGGCTGAATTCTATGGTTGAGTTGATCTTGCGAAGCTTAGACTTGTTGTCTATGCACCACAGCACGCATTTGGTGGTGCTGTGACTGGCCAAGTCGTCCTCGACCTCGCGCGACGTCTGGAAAATATCCAGGTTGGTTAGGTGCCGTACATCGGACTTGGCGGCCAGCTCCTCGGCCGTTTCATAGTATCCCATACGCAGCAGATGCTCGATGACCAGGCGGTCTAGTCGGATGCGCTTCCATTGATCCACCGATCCCTGCCACAGGTCGCCCGTAACGCTGCTTGGCGGAGTAATGCCCTTCAGGTGGTCAAGCTTGCGCTTGCAGATCTGTGTAACGCTCAGCTCATCGTTGATGCTCTCCTCGGCCTTGCGCTTAAGCACCTGCAATTTCTGGGCGACGTTGTCTACCAGTTTAGTGACCTCGGCCAGAATGGGACCCTCCTCTGCCTCCAGGGCCTTCTCCACCTGACGCGATACGTTGGTCACCTGGTCCACCTCTCTGTCTATGACCTTCTGTGCTGAACGGAAGCGCTTGTTCAGCATCTCGTATGGCACTTTCAGGGTGGCGTGCTCCAACGCCTTGATCTCCGACATTTTTGCTTTTCGTTTGCCGTGCAATTCCGTTTTATCCTCTTCTTTGAGACGCAATTGCGTTTTCTTCTATTTCCCTGAATTGCTTTGTTTTGCTTTTGTGGGCTTAGCGTTGCCAGACTGCTAGCAGTCAGCTTATCGAGCAAAGGTGCTGTTCACATTGCTAGGTCTTATGCTAATTGTTTCTATTGTGATTTCTAATTGTTCTATATGAAAAGAGTGCAAAAACAAAAGTATGCATACTTAAATCATATTGAAGGTATTCTTCCAGTTCCGTGGTGCGAAACCAAAGATTTCCTGATGTTGTTAAAGTTTTATAATATTTGAATAATATTTGGCTATACTTTTGCGTGCTCTCCCGCTAAACTTCCGGCAGCTCCAGCATGTGGGCAGCACTGTCACTGCACTGTTAACAAATGACAGCTGATTGCAGTAAACATAAACAAATGTTAAGAGAGACAAACATTAAGCAATAATGCTAAAAACTTTCTATAATTTGAAGAAAATTAATATATATATTCAGACAGGCTAACATAGCAAAGTAAGTAATGGAAAAAATTATCTAGTTAAATGAGATTTATGTACTTCCACAGATGAAACAATAAACTAATTAATTGCAGATGGTTAGAGCAAAGACACCAGAATAATTATTCTAGTGTCTTTGGTTAGAGCAACTACCAGAGGAGCGAACTCCAAAGCAACGAAAACTGGTGCAAAAGGGCCCAACTAGGGGAACCAAGGATAACTCCAAGCGCTATCGCGAGAAAATCGAAAGGGATCCAAATAAAATTGTTTAAAAAGAACAATAAGGTTTTAAAAATAAAGCGAGAATGCGAAGAAAGTACTCGGCAATCAAAGATCATTGGAAGAAATGCTGAAGAAGATGGAATAGTCACTTCCAGCCAAATTTTCCCGAAAGATGGAAGTTATTAAGCTATTGTATAGCAAATATGTGGAGCCTGAAGACAAGGCTAAGTCACTTTGAATCAAATCCTGGTAGAGCTGGCTTTACACAATAACAATTATTTACAAGCGTAGGTTAGTATTTTTCTAGTATTAAAAAGTATTTATTTTTAGTATTTAAAAAATTGCAAATCTGAATCATAAAAAATATTATTAGGCAAAAGTTTAGTACGAAAGATATTTCATCCTTCTTTCAACAAAGGTTTTCAGTTACTTTGTTAGCCAATGTGATCTGCAATATTCCTACAACTTTATAGATGATTCATTTTGGATATACACGAGTCGGCTCACTCTAATTTCTTGTAATTAGCATTACGGCTAGTTCGAGCTCGAGAGTTGACCTAATGTGCTCCGCAGTGTAATTAATACGTCTGCTGGAAGGAAAAGTAATCACGACTCCATGCAAAATTGCATAGAATTAACCTCCTTTTATGGTACATTGACTTTCGTCCACGTCTAAGTCGCTTCGATAATTAGTCATAGACTAGGAGCCGCCCAGGTGTACGTGCGAAAATTGAAAATCCATAAAGCCCGACCCATACCCACATGCTCAATGTTGGGACTTTGGTAAGTAATTTTTCATTCCCTGGAACGGAAGTTACTCATTTCGGATAAATTTTGGACACGTGCCGTGTAAAAACGCGAATACAAACAAATAAACAAACATTTTGTTCGAACTTATGGCCTGGATGTGAGGTTACAAAAGCTCTACATAAAAATATTGCATTCTGTCAGCAATTGATACGTATTGATATTGAACAGCGACATTAACTCGTAAGTACTTAAAAGTAATTGTAAATTGTATTTAACTTGCATATTAATGTGAAGGATCTATTTCAACTATACCTGTCTACCTGGATGTGAAAGCCTTTCCCAAACTGACGAGTACCGTCATTAAAACCCATTGCATCCGTCCTCCTCAAGCAGCGATTGTTCCCAAAAGGTCAGGTACTCACATCGAGATTTGCCTAATGACAAACAATTGAAAATTGCATGTCTGAAAAGTCCTAGGTTCCTGGGTTCTGAAAAATTGCATTTTAATAATACAACCGGTGAGAAGGCGATTAAATTCAGGCACTTCTTCAGTTTGAATTCCAATTACGGAACGTCACTCAGGCCGACTGACTTACACACTACCTAATCCACTTGACAAGTTCAGTGCTCCTGGGGGACACAAAAACTTATTAGAATATCTTAGTGCGCTGCATTTGCATTGCCATTGTTTTTCGTGGGTGTCCAGTTGGTGTCAAGTGGGTTCCATGCCCGTGGAGAACCCACCTTGGGAAAGGGTGGGTCAGTTCGGATGGTGTGTAGCTAGTAGCTAACCTAACCAATTGGAGCCCGGTGGCAAAGACGAGGGAGAGCCGAGCGTTTTGGTGATGTCATGGATTGCGTGCAGCGGAGCCGTCATCAATGGTCCTTCTCTCTGGGACTGGCTACTTGGGCAATTTTGTTGTAGATGTTTGCGGCCCTTTTGGGCTACCATAAGAAATGGTCGTAACCCATAATCAGTGCGGCTTAATCGTGTTCCACCGCCCGGGCAGCCTATGGCACTCCCTCCCCTTCCATTCCTTCCCCACTGACCACATTGCTCCGCTGGCCTGCATTGATTTTTTTTCCGCAGGAGTAGGTACTCCATTCCGGCGTTTTCGGGTTTTTATGGTCACCTCTAGAACTTTCACTTTTTGATGTGCGTAAATTTGCATATTTGTCGGACGCCAGGAAGGGTGTGTGCACTGACCATTCCACTTCATCCGACCCGCTCCCTTTCCCCGGTGTTTTGGGTGAGTAATGAATAGCGTCCGATGATGATGACGCCTTGGATAATGAGTTTTTGGCTTCGCCTTTAGATAGGTCACTGAAGACATCGAACCTAAATGGGTAGAATGGGTAGTTAAAGTAGCCAGCTAATACTGTTCTGATCCTCCCTTTTGGAAGAGCAACTGGCTAGGTAGCCCAGTTAATAGCCTCATAAAAGATATTTTACGATCCTTTAGTTCATATGAATTTAGAAAGCTTTTGTCTGAAGGGGCTACCATTTTTGCAGTTATCGGATGCTATGCATATAACAAATAATTGGATTGCGAACTTGACAAGTTATAGGTATGACTTTTTATTGTTTTTTTGATTGCCAAACGCTTTTATACTTTTAAAAATAGTTCGTGTAGGCTGGGCACTAATAGACCTTTACAAGTACGGGAATATACAAAAACATTAAGCTTATGAATACTAGTATAATTGTTGGCACATGTGTTAGTTTATATCTTTATAATTTATTCTAATACTTGAATGTAAATCGTGAGCAATTGTTTACCGTCCAAACGACACTAAATTCCACCACATTTCTCAAATGTTGCTATAATTATAATTCCTTTTGAAGATTAAGAGCCTCATGACGTCCCAACCTGACCACGCATGAGTTATTAAAATAAGTTCGTGAGCCTCAGCATTTCGTAGTTATTTTTATGTTTTCGCTAGCCAGGCGTCGCCTTTAGTTCTGGCCAACATGACATGCGAATTGGCCAAGTCGAAAGACCCCCAAGACCCCCAAAAGTGTCGCCCCATTGCTAAAATCAAGGTGTGCATTAACAAATGAACTTGAAATAATCGTTATACGACTGGCCACCCATATATTTAGCATGCATTTGGCTGCATTCAGCTATGTGGCAATGTGGCAATGTGGCGAGTGATAAATTGGGAAAGTCATGGAAAGGTTATTTGGTCAAGACTTGGCCAACAGACAAGGCTAAAACAAGTAACGGCGGCTATCGAAGCTCTCGCCTTGCGGCACATGCAACATTCGGGGGCAGGAGGTGGCAGTCCAGTTTAAGGACTAAGCCAACTTCTGGCTCGCTGCTGTGTGCATGTCCTGGAACGCACGAAAACAAACTTGCATGCAGCGAATAGAGTGAGTGCGAGTGTGTGTAGTCGCAATTAGACGTGGCCATAATGTGGAATTAAGTCCCTTAAATTGGCATTTTTTCGAGGGCCTAATGCTCCGGACTCGGGGTTATAATCAGCAGTAATATGATGACCTCTGGGCATGAGTACACCTCGATGAGATTTCGTGAGAAAATTATATATCGCTGGGCTGGCACTGGACGGACCTAGAAATTCTACAGTCGCACTAATTAATCATCAGTTAAGAGCAAGAACATGACGCCCAAATTGTTGAAAGCGAATTAGTTCTTTAATTACGGTGGTCTTTCGCATTTCTTGGAGGGGAAAACCCAGCGGCGGCGCCTCCGATTCGGTGCAGTTTCTGATTTGGTGAAAAGATTTCGTGAGTTTTCCATATAATTTTCCTGCTTGTTTTCCGTTTCTGTGCTGTGGCCAGCTACATTTATCAATAATGTCAAGAAATAAATATCCGAAATAAATTTCGGACTCTGCCGCATGGCGAATTGAATGGACTGGACGGGACTGGCCCAGCACTCTTGAATAATAATTAAATGAATTTATTTTTACATGTAAATATAATTATTTTCCATTTCGTATGACGCGGTGCGGCAGGACTTGCGTAAATGGTAAAGTAGTGCGGAATAAATCATTGTCAAGTCGGCAAATCTAGAAAAAGTATTACGAAATCGTAATTAGTGTCTTTAAAGCATATTATACCATTTTAGGTACAACAAATTCTTAAGTATGACCCAAGTGACTCGTAAGCCCCTCAGTATTGTCACCTTAAAATATTTGAAAATAATAATTTCCCATTACAAGTTAAGCAAAGTGGATTCGAGTATGTGAAATATATGCCTTAAAACTGATTTCAAGATTTCCACGGTCTTTGAACCCGACCAGATTCGTGTCCCAATTAGTTACATCCACCGATTTTCGTGAATATATTTTCTGGATTTTCTTTCCGTTCGGCGTGCGTGTGCGAAATGAAATTGTAAATGCGATGGACGCATTTAGTTAGGGAAAATTGTTTATGCTGTCGCAGCGATTAAAGCAATCGTTGATAAGGCGATCGAGAAGGCAGATAAGGAGTACCAGCACATATAGCCTGACATTTTGCGCAATCGGAAGAGGTTCGAAAGTACACGAAATGCAAAGGAATTTGTTTTGGCAAATTGGGCGAGCTCCTCATGTCCCAACTGACCTCAAAGTGCTTCTCTTCGGGTGTAAATTATTGGCTCCGCTGGAAAAGTGGCTACGTATATTTAGACAATGGAAGCAGACATGGCCCAAAGTTGGGCATCCGTTTCTGGCTGTTCGATATGCACCTAAATGGTACTTTGCCAAATTGGGCTAAGGGGGCGTGGCCAGCAACCTTTTTTCTGAACAGGCTGCATTCTAGAGTTGAAAGTTGAATGTTAAAAGTTGAAAGCAACAAGCAAGGCACTCATCTGGGCAATTCAGCAAACGTAATTAGGGCCGCGCAGCGCCCAAAAGCAAAAATAATCATAAGCAACGGCCAAGAGAAATTAGGGAGCGAGCGAAGAATAATGGCCAAAATAACTATTTGCCTTTGACTAACCAGTTTCTGTTGTTGCTCCTGGTGCGTGCTAATGTTACACTTTATTGTTGTGGCTGTTGCTCGACTCCGCGGGCCCCAAAAAGTAGGCTATGCAATGGTCGTACGCCTCTAATGCCTTCGTCATTATTATAGTTCCCACACACTGCCGCACACACCACACACCACACACACACACCCAAGCCGAGGACGAGAAAAGGACGAGGTCGCCTCCGCCAGCAGCTACAATAAAAACAGGTGCACGAAGGTGAGGCAGCTACAAAAATCCATCTTCGTTAACAAAACTCGCTCACGAAATACACAAAAGCAGTGGAGCACTTACAAGTGCGTCGGAACTCATACACCATATAGCGTATGCCATATAGCGTACCATATAGCGTACCATATAGCGTACCATATAGCACACCATATAGCATACTGCCTGCGAAAGTTTCGAAATCTGGCCGGAGATTCCATGCCATCCACCTCCTTGTAGTGGAATACCCTTCGACGACTCGGGGGATCTCTTAATTATGCATGCGGTGTCTGTCCTCCTGGAATCCGATTTTATGGATGTCCTGGAATGCGTGCATTCATTTCGGCTCAGCCGCAGTTGTTTAGACGGATAGTCTACATCTAAAATTAATAGAGCCACATATGTGTTATCATTTTGTGCGAAGTTTACGTTGTGGCGTCGGCAGAAATACACATAAAACCGGTGTTGTTATTTAACTTGATATTCAGCTGTATTTATATTTATTGCGAATTTATTATAGACCAATTAGATATAGAATCAGTTGTTGTTGTCTTTGAACAAACCGGAATTTCACTTCCATTCACAGCGTAAGGTTTTCGACTTCTGTTACTAAATGACTTTATAATAATTAAATTTATAGTTTACCAAGTTACATATAGGTATCTCAAAATGAATAAGAAGTTGGGTTTAATGTGAGCCTTCTGTGAAGAAGGGTATCTGGGAGGCGCCTCTGGTTCGTCGCCAATCTGGGAAAGGGGTTTGCTGCCCGGCCGAGTGGTGAGCGAGCTGCGGGGGCGGTGGGTGGCCAGGTTGCAGGAGGAGCAGTCGGGCGAGTGGCAGGTGGTGCGTGGTGGGTGGTGTGTGGTGGAAGGTGGCGCCGGTGTGCGCGAGCGCCAAGTAGCCACCAGCAGCGACGTCGAAGCAACTTAAGGTCCGTGTGCGCCGCGAATTCTTCACTTGCATTTCGAGCGCGCAGGCGACTGGTTGGAGCTACCCGTCCGAAGACAGACCCCAAGTGGAAGTACCGAAAGCGAGTGGCCCAAAGTATTGGAGATTTTTTGGAGTGACGCCTCTCGTGCGGTTTTGTTTTGCTTCGGACTTTCTGGCGGAGCGGAAACGATTTCGGTGTGAAAATTTGCATAAAATTGCGCCCGCGAAACCGACAAAGAACCCAAAAAGCGCTGAGGAAACCAGTTTAAAGCCTTTGGGCAGTTTTCAGGCTTGCAAAGTGCGTGTGAGACCCGTTGCGGTCCTGTGCAATTTATATAACACCCGAAAAAAGGACTTCTGCCTCGACTTCCTTTGGTCCTACTCTCGCCCCCAAACTCGATTAGTTTCCGATTGCAAAATGCAGCCCCTGAAGCGCTTCACACAATGCGGCAGTCTGACCATGCTCTTCGGCATCTTCATCATACTCTTCGGGGTCAGTTCCACGGCCCTGACCACTTTTGGCAAGACCAACAACCAGCCGCCGCCCACGCACGTCCCAATTGGTAAGAGAACCCCGGGGTTGGTAAAAACAGCCCCATCAAAGTCGCTGGCAAGGTCAGGAGTTTCTCGTCAAGATTGGTCGAAGGATTGAAACGAGTTTGAGTTTGAATTCGGAAAGTAACCTTGCTATAACTCGAACTACGTTTTTTTGTAGTAAAAAACTTTTAAAACTGCTTTTGAGTCAAGAGTTAGCTATTTTAATGCATTTAACTTTTCTCATTACAATGTGATACCTAGGACAAAGTGCCTTTCTGATTAGGCCACAAGGAGCTCCACTAAAAGGCAATTAACCGCCAATTAAGACACCTAGTTGTTAGCCAAACAAATAGCCAACCATCCAGTTTGACGATCCAATCATTTGTCATTCGATTGACTTTGTACTCCCCCATAAATAAATGGAATAATAATTGCGGCACAGAGCCAGCGATTGAATGACACGACACAGAACACAGAGCATTCATTGCTAACACAAATCGAATCGAGAATTGATCAAACAAGTCACTCAAGTGCAATGACAACCCACGCTCCGCAATTCGCCGACATTAGGAGTGGGTTTTCCCTGGGCGGTAATAGCCCTGTGATTGGAGTTGGCAAACAGGAACGGCTGGAGTAGATACAGATAGGCAGACAGGCGGTGATTTGTGTTAGCAGGAGCTGTTCCTGTTCCCCCATAATCACACAATTAGCGGGCAATTAGCTGGGTAAACTGGCCAGTACCGTGCCCTCCTCTAACCTCGATGGCTATCCTTACTTGCAGTTAAAGGACGAGAGTGCAGTGCCCACGACGATTGCACGGCGATAGATCGCACCAGCTGCGTCAAGGATCCCAATGACTACAAGTTGCGTTGCCTCTGCGGCGACGACTCGCCTCCTTCGGCTGGCAGCTGCCCGGATGTCCTGAAAGGTAATATATCAGCATTAGCACATTTTATTACCATATTGCCCAAGGAGAAAGCATATTAAACATATTAATTGAACTAGAGCAGCAGCCTTTAGTTGGTTTACTTTAGTTTCTAGCTTAAGCTTTAGACATATAGTTTGTTAATCCATAATGTTATGCAACTGGGAAATGATTGCTGCCAACTATTAATTACTATGCCCCGTATCTACGCCCCTGTGACTGCCTCCTTTGCAGAATCCTTTGGCTACATAGTGCCCAGAAATAGAACAGCCAACAAAAAGTCAGCTAATTGCTAAGACATGCACATTACATTTATTATTTAAGAGCCCGCTGCTTTCTTGGAGGCCTCCTCCGCGATGAGCCAGTGCCTCAAGTGGCATGCAGGTGATGTGTCCAAGGCGCCACCTAAATGAGAATTAAACAAAGCATCCTGCCAGGATGGCCACCCACAGCCCACAGCCCACATCCACCTTCCTTCGCTATTTGCCTGCTTATTTATTTAGTTTTCGTGCGCGATTCACACTTGCTCCTTGGGATCCTTGGGTCATGTGCCCGCCATTGTTGGCCCTCCAGTGCTTGGTCCTTTGGTCCTTTGGTGCTCCAGAACTGGGGGTTCTCCAGCTCTCCTCACGGCATGCAGGACATTCTTTAGCCGGCCCAAGAAGGACCGAAAGGCAGAGCCCCACGCCGTATGGCGGCGCAATGTCGATGCCGGATTTATGTTAGGATGTCGTGACTCCTCCGATGGGGAAGCTCAAACGAGGCCCCAAACGAGAGGCAAATGGTAATGGGAATCGCCGCAGTGCCAATTTGTGACATGCACAGCCCAGAAATGTTATACGCGATTTTTGCATGCAAGTCTCGCAGTTTTGGCATTGGCAGTTGTTCTCCGTGTAGCAGATCTACTTTCCGGCGGGAATACATTGTAACACTCTAGAGTATCGTATTTCCAGACTATTATAGGTCTGCATAATGGCGGTGCTATACCCAAATAGCCATTAGCTGAAACTGTGTTCAATTTAGTTATAATCATGCAGTATAGTAAATTTATTGCGAGTATCCAAATAGTACATCCATATTATTTGTTCACTTTGTAGGCCTGCGTCACAAGTGCAACAGCAACAACGACTGCGAGGACGGAATGGTGTGCCAGTACGAGAATAGCAACCGCACCATCGGAGTGGCCAAGTTCATGTCCAGCAAGACCAAGCTGTGTCTCTGCGACAACGACAACGGATATGTGGAGGACATCCTGCACGACATCTGCAGCGGAGGTAGGAAGTGCCCCATCCCATAGTATTCGTTTCATAGTATTACGAAGCGCATTATCCTGACCCATCTTCTTCACCTTCCAGCCAATCTTCAGGGCCTGGTCAGCTTCTTGGTCTCGATCTGCTCGCTCCTGGCGCCATTTTTGGTATCCGCCCACATGCGAAAGCATTTCTAGAAGGCGATCGGCGTAAGCGGAAGCGGAAGCGGAAGTCGTAGTTTGGCGTTTATCTACCCCAGTGATCCATCAAATGTGCCTCAGTGAAACCAACAGAAACAAAAGATCATCCCTCCCCTAACCCCCCACATATGAAAACGAAATGTAATCTTTGAAAGCGGAAAAAGAAAAAGATACGAAAGAAAAAATGAAATTAAGAAAGTTAGATACTCGTCGCCATTAGCCTAAAAGTCGTTCTATTGTATAAGTTTCATATGTACCACCGTCAAGTTTATTCGCTTCTCACGAAAAGTTGCGTTATATACAATATACATAATTATATTATCTGATAAATGTTTTCTATAGATCCCCAATCGACCTTAGTCAGTACTCCCTACACTAGACAGACAGAACTAACTTTAGATCAAATGTTTGGCACCATTTTATTGTAATTTTATATGAGTGTACGTGTGTCCAGGAAAACCTAATAAAAATCTATAGAAATTATCTAAGGAGAGGCAACTTTTCAGCAGCACTGTGAATTCAGATCGCTTACATCGCAATTACAAATGTGAAACATTTTAATTTTTGTATGTATTCAACATAAATAGCTTTACGAGCTCACAGCCCATAATCGAATGGATAAATAATATTAATATTAATCATACGGGAAATGATGCAAGTTAATAATATTTTCATGTCAAAGTTGCAGGTCCAGTTAAGAACTTCACCCATTAAAACCGTTTTCTTCGTAGCTGTTATCTATACTATTTAATAAAAACCTTTCAAAACCCAAACTAAATGTTTCCTCTAGTCTCGAGTAGCACTTTTCCATTATAAAAGGCAAAGTATATCTTGGTTACCGCGCGGTACTTTTCATTGACCATCCAATAGGTCTGAAACATGTAGTTTCCGGTGGGGAAGGGCAGGACTTTTGGGAGTCGGGAATTAATGGCCTCGGAGGAAAGCTTATCCAGAATGAGGTCGTGCTAAAAGAAATTCAGAAAGATATTTTGGGTGGACTTAACCCACCACATGTCACTTACGTCGTATGGACAGGAATGATTCAAGTTGGAGGTGTCTTTAATAAAATCGTAAAAGTATCTCGCGACTGCATTGGACCTCGTGTTCTTGATGAACTGACAGCCGTCAAGAGATACGTTGTAAAGAAAGGGCTTATATCCTTGGATCTGTTGATGCAAGCCAAAGTTAACCTGAAATACAAACATTGTACTCCATAGTTGGCTGAAATGATGCCTTACAAACCTTTATGCTGTTCAGGGGAAATTTTAACACCTTTACCTTGGCGGAGATGTGTTGATAAGTTCGATTAACTGATTTTAAAGAACAGTATTCGAAGTCGACCACGTCCTTATCCATGGACGCGCACTTGAAGCTCGTAAACTCGATGTGAGAGTACATCTGCATTTTAGTTAAATCTATGCTATATGGCCGTTAAAATGGTTTATAACGTCTGACCTGATTTATCATGCCGAGGTTCAATAGAAGCACGAAGCTGAGGTATTTTTGCAAACACATTTTAGTTCAATGGGGTTACAGGTGAAAATGACGGCAGCATTTTCAATATATACCCATCACTGAATTTGGGTAAAATCTGGCATTTATATTGGTAATTACAGCTTTTAGCTTAATTTCTTTAATTGTTAGTTATATGCAGGGAAACCAGACGAAAAATTGGCTGCAGTGAACTGGAACATACGCACTCCCAAGGCAAGAGCTGTATTAGACCATGAACATACCCCTTGTGAGAACTTCATGAATTATTGTCAATAAGAAATGGCTTACCTCCTTCAGGGTGCAGTTTTCGAAATCGGAAAGGTGCCGATCCACAGACATCTGTGGAATCTAGTTCAGTCCAGATAAATGGCGACATTGACGCACTACGGATATGGTATCTGTTTGAAACTTCAAGGACAAATAGCTCTCCACCATGAATTCCAATTTCCAGCTGCACTTGCAGCTCCGCCAAACGATCGGCTATCCAACCGAAATCGATTAAGTGCACGGCATTGGTTTTAAATAGATCGGCGCGGATTTAATGCAGCAGCACAGTTATCAATATGTTAACAAGCTGGAAATTTTGTAATGCCAACGCCTTTCGCTGGCCCCCATTCGGTGATTACTTTCAAATTTCTCGCCGAGCAGAGAAGCGGAGAACTGGAGAAAGAGCGCAGAGAAATGGGGGCGCAGTGAAAAGCTCACCGGGCCACAAAGCTCCACTCTCGGATCACAAAAACAAACGGCGCCACGCTCCCAAGCACAATTACACGATCGCTTCCGAGAGGTGACAACTTCGAGGGCTCTCGGTTCCGATCCAGAGATCTGAACGGGCAGTTAGTTAGCCATGTTTACCTAACCGATTCGGCCGTGCAATCCGCAAGATCGTCGTGGTTAGTCCGAATAATTCCAAGCCGCAAATTCGAAGTTCGCGCGTGTGCAATCAAATTATAAGCCCCATTTATGCTTTGATTTTATGGTTGCATTTCGGCAGTGATTTAGTGATTTGCATGCGAATTGGGCAAACGCCATAAAAGACGCTCCCAAAGTAGTGCCAATATTCATATATTCAACTTATAACTACAGAACCCACAGACAGCAAAGAACTGAAGGGGACAAACTCGAGTTTTTGAGCTGTGCGACGCGCGCCAAAGTCAAAGCCAATGAAATCACATTTCCGGTGGCCACACATCGTTTCAGCCGAATTCAATAGAAAATAGTGGAAAAAACGCCAGCCAGTGGCATTCCAGCCGTAATTGGGCTATTTGCGCCCCTCCGCCGACATAGGTAAGTCCATCGAGATTTTCCGCCTCTGACATCAGAAAGTGACACAGAGTTATGGGTGCCCAGGCACATAGATCAGGTATATGCTAGTATATGCTACTGAAAGGAGTGAGGTTTCACATGCGATTTTGGGATTAGCGCCTCTTTGTGCCAAATCCACTGACGCAGCCTAAACGGTCGATTAACATTTATCACTAAACGATTACTAATTTGTTTATGACTCCCTCAAAGGCAACGCCACATGCTAATTGGCATTATGGGCTCCCGAAAAGAGTTGCTAATTTTATGATGTCCTCAATGAAGTGCAAATTATGTGACTCACTGAAAATATTTTGGTTATCTGCGCATCTCGAAGTTTTCCAAATCGGAACAGCTCAGATAAACCAAAAGTACCTTAGTGGTGCATTCCGCAGTTTGTGACGTGGTAATTGCAAAAAGAACTCGCGAGTGTGGAGTTAAAATTCATCTATAGATTACGTGACTTAAATGCGAAAACGTGTCGGTTAAGCTAGCCAGTTTAAATGCAGTTTAATCTCAAGAAACCATTTGAAAAACTCGGCGCTACAAAATGTGACCTCTTAGAGATCGCAAAAATTCTTTCCCATATCATTTTAAGGAATGCTCAAGCTTAAATTCCACGAATTGCTGCCCAAACTAGTTTAATTCGGTTTTAATCACTCGTGTCATGAGCTTGACTTGCATATCTTAAGCAAATGATATAGTAGATGAAATCAAGCTAAGTATACAATATTCGGATGGCTAGATAAGATTCCGCTTCTGGTTTTCTTTGCTGCGTAAGCGGTGGGGAGACGCGTTTTGCATAAAAATTGCCAACTTTTGAAAAACCGCGCTCCATCAAATACAAACAATCGAGTCATAAATATTCAAAACAAACAAAAGCCGGTAGCTGTTCTCCCCCTAAAAATCAATTAAGCCTGAAAATGAATGGTTAGTCCAACACTGATCGTCGTCTAATATAGATTATGGAACCCGTTTTGTGGGAACATAAATTAAATTCGGCTTGCTCTGCGATTAATCACTCTTATAATCAAATAATGATTAACTAACGAGGAAATTGCAGTTTTAATTTTTTTGTGATTTTGGCACGTTGTTTCAATTACTTCTGCTGAATTTGTTTGCTCACATTTTATGGACACGCACAGGGCATCTTCATAAAAACCGAGCTTAAAGTCAACAAGCTGCAAATGGAATTCTGGGTATAACCTCGTAAACAGCATATTTTCGGACAGATTCACTCAAACAATTAGGTCTTTCACGACTTTCGGACTGAAAAGGCATATTGAATAACAAGTACAGTTTATTTTTAGATTTTAAACAAAGGAAGGTCTCAAAAAGAATTAACATCCACCTACAAATTGGTGTACATTTTAAATAGTCTGTTTGTCTGGGTTCTTTAACTCTGCCCAGCCAGCCTTATGCAATCTGTTCTCCGCGATCGATCACGTTCCCTATTTTAAAATAATATTTATAGCCATCCAATAAATTAGTCAGCTTTCCGAGCCCTTATGGCTTTCTTTTGTAACTACACCTCATAAATCCTTGCAGTAATTCCCCTGCGAGATCGTAAGTTATCTAAGCCAAAGCAATTGTGTCTGCATGTGGGACAACGTGTTGTATACGTGATTTTCCTGCGACTATCTGTAAACCCGCAACATCCAAGTGTGCAAGACCCCCTCTGCCCCCTATATCGTATAAATACAGCTTTCGGAAATAAGTGAGCCACAGGTATTCACAAAAACAGCCGGATCGAGGTGGCAAGCAAGCCAAACGCATTTCATTGAAATGGGCGACAGTTTGTTGCTCGGATTCGATGTGATTGTGCTGCGATCGACCACGCCCACGCCCACGCCCACGTCGTTCGTTACGCCCTTTGGGGGAATTTGGCTGTCATGCGAAATGTATTTTGCAATTGGCCCTGTAATTTGAGTTGAGTGAAAAAAGTGAACAAGCCACTAAAAAAAGGTAACAGCAAAACGAATTCAGCAAATGTAATTGAACAATTAATCGAACATTTGTGCTTCCTGTTTGGGTGGGCTTATTAACTCGCTTATGAGCTGATCAGAATGTATAAAGCCAAAATCTAACGCGCCTTCAAAGTTCAGCCAAATATTTGCCTCTCAACTCACTCATTTCGAAACCCAAGGGTCACACACCTGTTGGGGTGCAAAGTTCGAGCGCGTGTCAATGGGGCAAAATGTGTGTAATCTCAAGTGCGTACGTATGCATATGCAAACTTGAATTAAATACACTTATTTGCGTTGAGGAAGCCTCAATTTGATGGCAATTAGCACAAGTCCCGCAGCCCGCAGCCCGTCAGCTCGTCAGCCGCCCACATTTCGCTCACTTTCTAATTGTGTGCTTAAATAGTTAAAAATAAAACAAAACCCAAACCAAGACCAAAACCCAAACCCAAACCAAAACAAATAAGACAAAGGAAACGCCTCGGATATGAAATATTTTCGGTGTGAGAAGCGCCAGCTCGTTTGACATCATCCAAATTTAGCTGACGACTTCGGCAGCTGGAGAATCCCCCCAAGATCACCGTCTTCCGACGAGATCTGATCATGAGGTTTTGAACAAAACCAGTTACCGGCATCTTGACGTATACACTCATTAAAAATTATGCTACTTTGCCAGCTGACTGATAGTATTCAAGTCATTGGACTGCGATTAGGAAACGAAATGCACAACAGCGGAGGCAGAACGAAAAATACCCAAACATTGAGTGGTTTGAAAACGTGTAAGGGTGTTTGAGCTCTTGCGGATCGACTACGAACATACCCAATAAAAAGCTTGGGTACTTCCCAGCTCAGTTTTCATATAAACCCCCAGCTCACTTTAAAGCTGGCTCTTGGAAACCGCAACACATAAAAGTGCTTAAGTATGTAGTGTGTTATTGTACATTATTATTAAATGTGCGTTATTGCCCTATAAGCCTTTCGAATAGTTGGTATGAAAAATAGCACCGCCTGCTTCTCCAATTGTGATCTTGGCCGGGCTATAAAGACAGTGATATTTATGGGCTTTTAACACATACAGCCCGTTTCAATCAATTTAAATAATTCCATTTGTCACAGCAACAGCTGTCTAGGAAGTTTTTTGCGACATTCGCTTAAATTTCGATGTTCATCTTGAACTTCAACATAACTTTAATTCCTTTCAATCGGCATAAATATAGAAAGTTTGCGTTCGGAAACTAAGGCTACAATGAATGCATTTCAAAATCATTTTTCAAAGCGGTAACACACAAGTTATGTATACACGTATGCATTGATTTCCATAGAAAAACATTCGACCCCAAGCTATGCATTTAAATATTTATTTACCCATGACATTTTTTGGTATCACCTTTTGTTTGTCTAGCAAAGGGTCTGCGTCTATAAAGTGTCAAGTTCATCTGGAAATAGTCAGAATTCCTGCACTACTACGTGTATTTGTGGCATCAGTTGAGCTGGATTTCCTTACAATCCAGACAAATCTGACGATGATATCTGGAGCGTTAATACAAGTCAGCGCGATGGAGGCAAATCAATTAGCCTTGTCGAGTACTTATTGATCAGGCAATACCTCATTAATTGCACCTAAAATATGTTAATGTTAAGAGAGGCCCGATAAAGCGGAGGATAAAATCCGAAAACAGGCAAAACTACTCCATGTGGTCATCAGCATCAGCAGACTGAATGCAGACCAAAGTGCAACACTCGGCCACGCATTTAGGGAGTGACTTGTCTGCAGTCGAGTTTCTGGCCAAATCTG